AAGGCTGGACTCAATACAGACAAATTTGTTACCTTTGAGAGGTTTCCGAAACGTTTTTATCACTCATTCGTTTTGCAAATGACCTTAGTTTATACATTCTACAACCGGCTGAACGCAAGTAGACTTAGGCGCTTTTGAAAAAAACATGAAAACATGTGAATCATATCAGTAAAACGCAATGCTGAGCTCTTTTTGGATTTTCTAAGGCTACTTTCACGAAAACAGCGATTAAACCAAAATTCGTCGATAGATTTTCTTCAAAAAATTTCAGTAATGCAATTGATCAGTGTACTATAAAATCCCCCGAATTACGTGTCCATTGAACGAATTTTGGTTTAATCGCTGTTTTCGTGAAAGTAGCCTTAGAAAACACTAAAAGAGCTCAGGATTGCGTTTTACTGATTCACATGTTAATATCATAACAAAGTTTAGTCTACGTGTAATACATGTGTTATAATGTTTTTACAATAAAGATCAATTTGTTTAAGTATAAAAGATTCATAGATGGAAGGTGTACCTACAAAAATACTGGGTCAAGCCACCTTAAAAGGGTCCAGTCGCTGTAGGAAAACTCACTAAGAAAGATAAAATGTCATAAATCCCTGAAGAAAACTCAGATGCAAGACCAGCATCCGCCTCTTTAGAAATGCCGTGAAGGAAACTGGGCCGAGTCAACTTTCGCAGACTCCTGAGACTGTTAAGTGTAGAAAATATAAAACGGCAAACTGATCCTTACGGCTCAGCGATGAAGAAGTAAACAAAAGAATAACTTGAATAGGGCAAAAAATGGCCAATACCTGACCGGCTCATCCCCAGTATCATACAGTTGCCTTTTCGTTTCCAAAGTGGCGAATGTTGCAAAGAAAATGATGACGCATACGTGCAAAAAAACAAACAAACAAACAAAGAAAAACAAAAACTGACCACCAATGAAACAACTTAAGGTTGCCCAGGAGGGGAGTGGGGGAAGTGGTTGATTGGACTGAGCTCAAAACCAACAACAACTACAAAAAGTTTTGACCAAGCTTGTTCGCCCATGGCGATAAAGGAGCTAATTAAAAAAGCAACGAAACCAAACAAACTTGACTAATAAGCCATATATGATCAGACTGACTATTTTATCAGGGACAGGGTTATCGTCCGCAGGAATGATCAATTTTAGTTGACCTCGGAGCTAGTTTTAAATTAGCTGCCCCGAACCATAATACAATTAAGGCCTATTTACCTCCTTCTCTGGATTTCTCTGCGATCTTTATCGGGCCGCTTGTGAGAGTATATTTGTTGGTACTTTCGTCGTGTTCTAACTTGTCATCTATCTCTCTTCTCTTTCTTTTTTTGCTGGTTAAACAACCTCTGCTGCATCTGTGGTGAAAAGAATTGTTCATTAGTTGATGACAATGGTCGACGAAATAATTTAATGTTTCCTGATGATTGATAATACGCCTTTAACAGGCGATGAATGAATGAATGATAACTTTATTTATACACGGTAAAAAACATCAGTCAAACATAGAAAATGAATCAAAAATTCTCAAAAACTGTTTTACGTATTTGCCGTGTAGGAGTACTGATCAAAAAACCATCTATGGGAACTTCTCTTAAAGAGACCTAAGGAAATTGATGTACGTATTTCCTCAGGAAGATGTACGTATTGATGTATGTATTTCCCCAGGCGATACTGGGCTGGGTGTATAGCTAGTCCTACTACTATTTTTCCAAGAAATAAAGAGATAGAGGTGGGTTAGATATCCTAAGAGGGAGGGAAGTACTCCGGAATTTAAGAAAAGGAATGAGTGAAAGGAGCCAAAAAGCAAAATCCGTCCCCCACAAATGCCTCGGGCATCCAAAGATTTTTGTTCCTCTGGAAATGACCCATCCCTTCCAGAGAATAGTACAATTAGCGGCCCTACTGCAGGGGTTAGGGCACGCAATGCCTTCTGGGTGATACATCCGCCATTTTGTCTTTTTTTGACGGAGAAATGGGCTGCACCACAAGTAGCCTAATGAAAATACAGAGTTTTAACGAAACTCTTTAAATTCGCATTTTTTTTTTCTCAGTGTCCACCCATAACGAGAATTTTTCCAGGAGTTATCTGTCTACGCATTATACCAGCTTAAGTACATAGGAAAAATCGATATCCCAAGTAATTAAACAGCATTTCTAGACCTCTTGACAAACGTACCTGGAATTATAATTGTATCTGTAGCAGGCCAACAGCTCGCAGTGAAAGTAAACCACATCATAATCGTTGAAGAACCTGAACGATCTCATTTTAAACTGTTGAGAGCTCGCTGTTGGATAGTACGTGTACTCCATAGTTGTATCTCGTGGGCACCTACAATTGGTTGTCATGGCGACACAGACATCATTAACAATTATTGGACGAGATTGAGCACCGTGATTTGTTAGTGGCGAGTAGATCATCATTGATTATTAAATATTATTGATCTGCGAGACTCTGAAAAATCACGTTATTTTGCGATATAACCGAGTTCAATAATTGTCTTATCGTTCGATCACCGAGTTTGTGCTTTTGTTATTTGCGAATCGAAGCGATCTGCCATTTTCACGCAAAAGCGATTCGCAAGAAGGAGAAAAGCGTCCTCGACCAATGAAAAGGAAGAAAAAGTTGCATCGAATTATAATACAGTTCATTGGTGCAAAAACAAAAATAGGCGCACAAACGTAAATGTACATAAATAACTGATAAGAAGATTGAATTTTAAGATTCTAATCTTGTTTTATACCTACCCATTCTGTATAACAGTGTACTGCGGCAAGGAGTAAAAATTTCCATATCTCGTAGCCTTGCAGTTTTCGGCCATTATCACTAGGTCAGCACTAGCCTCCACACTGTACTTCACATAAAGGAACTCGTTTGAAGGGATAGATATTGGGTAGTCGTTTTCAGTGTAAGGCGTGGCAAACGCCGCAGTCCTGTAAAAGTCCATTCTGAAAGTGAAGTTCCCATATCCAGCTAAAATGAAAAAAATAGGACGTAAGTGTGGTTTTTATGGGAATGGGGTAGCCTCCTCCATAGGTTTTCACATAATCACTTTAGATGTGAGATAACAACGCGATTTCACCGCTTAATGCTACTCTTTTCTTGAAAGCAACTGAAGCGATAGCAGAGTTAACTATCGAAAAGGTCTTGGTGTGAAGTATAAGACGCGTATCCATGTATTTCTGGCGTGGAGATCAGAGACCTTCGGAGAGATAAGAGACCTATGGAAAGGCTAAGATTTTGAAGGTAAGGAAAAGCTTAGTTTTTGCCACTGGTGTGGCAATAACACCCTAATTCCCAATGGTCGGTGACTCGGATCTCGGGCAAAAATTTGTACATTAAAATGACTTTTAAAATCTCTCAATAAATGAACTGGTATCGATTTTTTTCATTACTTCAAAATGGTTGCTTCATCTGTAAGTTCACGTTTCATCAGCAAAAATATACGGTCACCCCAAAGTCGTTTCTTATGAGGCCACTACTCCAGGCCTTTTAAAATAACTCAACCATTTTTGATCGAATAAAATAACTGCGAAAAAAAAGGGGGGGAAATACGTGGGAAATGTCATTTCACCGAAATGCCTTCCTTACGAGCACTATAAGTATTCGAGGTTTACTTATGTGAGAACTACCTGTTCAATATCGCGATCTAAATGTATAAAGAAGAGAAATTAAATAAATGATTAATCAAAGCACCTTCTGATCCAATATAAACTTGTTGTGTTTGGAATTGAACGCTTAGCATTTTCTTTCTGGAATAGCTGCAGTGAAATCGAAGATTAATGTCGTGCGTTCTGGTGATAACGTTGCCAGTAATCACTGCATCCACACGGATTTCATTCCAGAAGATTAATGCATCCTCTGTTTCATTAACCAGTGTCCCGCAAGCATTCAGATTGGTGCTGATTGAAACATGTGTTGAATTTTGAGTGGCCCTGTAGTTAAGAAAGATCAAAAAACAGACCCAACAATTGAACAAATTATCAAAAATTCATAAAGAAAATACAAAGGAAATATTGGTAACTCTGATAGAAGGAGGTTGCGTTGTTGCCCGGAATTTCACAAGAAAACAATAAAGAATTCCAGGATAATTCTAAAGGCAAGTAAATCTCACAGTTCGCGAGCGTGTTTTATGTAGACGTTTGGTTCAACTGTGTTTTTCAACTTGCCTAAAAAAATACACCAAACATGTAGAGATATCAATGAAGTATCTTAAATTTCATGGGTTCATCATCACGATGCACCAGCTTTACCTGCAGGAAGAATAGCGTAGGTGAAGGTTATTGGCATCAAAAAACGGAAATGTCTGCTTCTCCAAAGAAATGGTCATGTTGTCCTCGTTACATGTCACTGTCGCTCCAGGTTCTGGAATACACGAAAAACCGAACGGAGTTTGATACGGGGAATAAAACGTGTCACAGACCATAATTAAGTAATCTTTATGCCAATGCTTTTTGATGGAAATAATTAAAAATCATTCACTGAAGTTTAGAGAGAAAGTGACAAGTCAATATTGCATTTCTACTGCTTCAGGTGAGGAGCGTTGACCGCTCATCCGGGACATCAAAATGTAGATTCTTAAGTCATGAAAGCGAGGCCCGAGGCCTCTTTGTGCGCTTTTAAAAGAAACTCACCTAAACTAAGATCTATTACATAGGGTACCTGAGTTAACTTACTTTTTTTATGCTTTCGACAAAGCAAAAGGAAATTAAAAAAAGATACAAAACAGCAACAACAACAAAACAAAACCCAAATCAACACACTGAAACAGCAGAACAAAATCATAAAAACCGTTTTTTATTCCATGATGGATGTCTCATCTCTTTTCATGTCCCCTAGACACTGAGCTTTGCTAAATCTGCACTCCCAACAGCATCAAAAATACTGACATTCATCTCAAATACTGCATGTTTATTGCAGTTAAAGCACGTTCCTTAGAATCCCTGGTTAAAAACGTACTGCAGGATTAATTGAATGGGCAATCTCCTTAAGCTGAAAGAACCCTCATACTTACCAACACAAGTTAGGTTGTTGGATGCCATAGTTGTCCGCTCAGGGCATCCACAGAAAAATGATCCAGGAATATTGTAGCAGTAATGACTACAGCCACCATTGTTTGTTGAACATTCGTCAATATCTATAATGAAGAGTACAGCAATTAAACCGATGAGTCTCTATCCTAAACAGAAAATGTTTAAGAGCGGATGTCAGTAAATATCGACCAGAGGTCTACAAAACTGAAAAATCGAAAATTCTCAAAAAAATTCACAAAGTAGCACTAGGTAAGCTATTAACATAAATGTAATTTTTACTTCGATCCGATAATTATTTTCCACGAACGGGGGGTTATTGGTTTCGCGGCTCTCGGACCGGGTTTTCCAGGCCCGAGACCATGTGTCGCAAAAAAATCGGTTTAAAATTCAAATCCATTGAAATGCGGACAACAAAAACTTATTCAGAAGAGTACTTAATTGCACACATTCTAAGTGGTGATTTAGTCAGTTTGAACGAAAGTGTAATATTTTGGAGATTTTTCATTATTTTCAATATTTTGAACGTTTTCGTTCAATGAAAAAATGGCAAATCTCAAAGCCCAAAATCGTCGACTGGTACCTCGATTTCAGTAACAAGTCTTATACCACGTTAAAGAGCGTTATCTCTTCTTTCAAAATCTGTTTTCAAAACTACGGGCAACTTAAAAGAAATTGTTTGAGGCCAAAAAATACTAGTAGTACTTTTCTGAAATTTGAGCTTTCCAGACTCAGCGGGTCGATGCTAAAAACTCAGAAAAATGCAATAAGAAATCAGTTTGAGCAACAGTGATTTAACGTTATCAGCTTTCAGAAACCAACACGTGTTTATCGAGCGATCTGATAAAATTTAAAGCCGTTTTCCAACAAGAAAAGCAGAGTTTAGCCATCTTCTGCTACCAAACGCACGAGTGACGTAAGGTTGTCTGAAGGGCAAAGCACAATGACCACAATAATAAACTTCAAAAAGCAGAACGTTTCTGCGTCCAGGAATTAGACTTTAGCGGACAGAACAATGCCTACGAGTGTATGTTTCATACCTTAGCATGGGTTTCCTAGATACTGGAAATAAGAAACATCAAGGACAGCATCGGCAAGAGCATCTTCGGCTGCTCTCAAACGACGGAGATTGCGTTACGTTTCACAGATTGACCGCTTACCACCTGTTTTTGGGCTCGCATTTCGACGGAACGCTCGCCTCGAGAGGCGCGGGGCACGGATCTGAACTCTTCTTCACGAGACATTGAGCTGGATTTATCGGAAATATGCCACCACCAACAACAACATGAGCTTTTTTTCGGGGATTTGTCGTTTTTTATGCGAAAAGTTCGGGTAAGCAGATTCTCGCAAAAACCATTTGGCTTAAAAAATGTGTTTAAAAGCCCACCCAGGATTTGAAGCAAAAAGTATTTCCTCGAAATAAGCTAAACATACCCAATTCACGCGGTGAAAAAATGGATGATTATGGAACGATTATCGAATTCTTGCCTTACCTGAGGTATTTCTCGTGATGTAGGATTAGGGCTAGGAAAAAAGCCCATAACCTGCTCCTGTCGTTGTGAATTTCCTCAAGATCAAAAATTTCAGTAAGAACCGAAAACAACAGCTTAAAGGAGGTGCACACACCTTGAACTAGCAAGGGAAAACGGGTTTCTGATTGAGCTAAACTGTCATTGATGCATGGTGCAATTAGGTAGACCTTTTACTATCCCCCGCGCAACCACATGGGGAGTACTTTGAAGCGGTCCTGTCGGGGACTTTCGGGGGTAGGGGGCGGGGCAAATCGAAAATAACTTCTCTTTGTTTTTGTGAAGTACATCATTTCTCGAACGGTTGACAACGTGACGGCGGACTCCGTACCTTTGGAAAGGCCCTTTTGAAACATGTCCTGGCAACATGCAGGGCATCACGAAATTAACGTCAACACCTTGAATCAACTCCATGAACAGGGAGAGGCGATAAGTCCCATCTTAAAAGATGCCTGATGTCTAGACGTGAATAGTCTGTCCACAGTCATTTTTCATTTTGTATTTCGGGACCGTTTGACAGCGTACGAGTGAACTGGAGCGCAGTAACGAGCCCTGACCCCACCCCATTGCCCTTGCGGTCAATAAATCATCGCTTTTTTCATTTTTTTTATGCGCGTTCGAGAACCTGCAAAGGGAATATTGAGGGTCTTTGTACAGTTTCAGTTTATTTTACCGACAAAAAAGAACAAAACAAAGCAGGAGACAAGTATACAGAAACACGCAGAAGCAATGTGGTGAGGAAGCCCAAAAAGAAACCATAAGGCTTAGGTCATCCCCTTTTCGTTCGTTTAGCGTCGAATAGGTTTCCTGGTTTTGGGTGGGTCGGTCGGTGGAGTGAAAAAAAAAAATCACAAGAAATCTGAGAACGGGAGGCCTGAAACACCAGCATCATTGCCGTGGAGACTGAAAACAACAAGACATGGTCACCAAATCGACACAAATTTAATATGGCGGAAAATTTGATGGTCAATTTCATTAAAAAAGGCCCAAGAAGGGTAAAACGCAAAGAGGATACACCACGGAACGTTTTATGCCTCGAAATGATGTTATAATGCTAATTTTTTAGATTAAAAGAATTAATCTAAGTCCCAAAAAAATAAACCTTGTCGTTTCTTTTTCTTTCTTTTTCAAAAAAAGCCAAAAAACTGGGTCTTTTGGACGACACTAAACGAAGAAAAAATTAATATAGGAATTAAGCTCCCCTAAAGTATAAAAGTATAAGTTTACAAGGACAGGATCGAACGTATACTGAGTAACTAAATGAGAAAAATTTGATCAAAATTAAATGAAAGGCTAAGAGCCTAAGCGCTGTCTGATAACGAAACGGTAAACAAGAAGTGCTACCTCTCATTTAAAAGAGACGTGAAATACTGGGTGGACCACATCCTGAACTCCCGCGAAAACCGCAAGAGAGGAACGCTCAGGGCTAAGGAGACTAAACAGGGGCGTAGCTACTTGTACGCACGGTTTGCACATGCGTACCCGAAAACATTGAGGAAAAAAAATAGAATGAAATAAACATAACTAAAAAAAAAATCGGTTTCCAGAGAAGCGACGACATTAATTGGAGAACCGAATCTTGGATGATTTATTTATATAGCAATCCAGGAGCCCATCAAATTTGATGGGCTTCTGAGCAAGCTTGATGATGTAAAGCGTGAACGCGTTGCTTTCTCCACGACCTGTTTTCGGAGTAGACGAAGTAGGGCACAATTACGTCAATGTGTGGTGCTTTTTTCGGTCAAAAATAATGTGACAAAAAGGGGTAAAAAGAGTCATTTGTAAACTAAAGTCGAAGGTACTACAAGCTTGATTTTTAATAGCTGAATTAATGATAAACGGTTGACGTCAATGAACATAACAAGCCGACAGAATTAAAGAATTTTAGAGGTTGTGTCATTTCATAAACAGCAAAAATGCTTACAACCGTTAACCCCACCTTTAATAAAGGCACCTTAAAAAAATGTTGAGATTTGGGGTGCGGGGGGCGGGGAGGTGGGGAAGAAGATGTAGAAAAAGTTGGGCGTACCTCCGGAAACATCCTGACTACGCACCTGCTAAGGGACCAGTCATAATTTAAGTTGGAGGGGGGGGTGGAGGAGAAATTGGGGGGCCTTCAATTTTTTTTTGGATGGAATATGGGGGGCCTTAAAATGCCAAAAGATGACCTTGGGGGGTCTTCAAGTTTCTTTTAAGTAGCATCCCTACTGAGCAGCATGATGTTTGAGTATTAAAGGACCTGATTTTGATTCAGTTTTACACAAAGTCCTATATTGTGTAATACTAAAACAATTTAATCAGCATTTTTACAAAAAGATTTAATGCTCAAATAGTAGGTGCATCAACACAACATCCATTATTGTGTAACACTGAAACAATTTCATCGGCATTTTAACAAATGATTACATGCATAAAGTCATGGTATGCAATCTCACTATCCGAATCATTATTTGTAGATGAGGTTGATGCGGACTCACTGTCTGTGTCACCGTCAAGTTTTTCGGTATTAGAGCATGTACTGCTTATATAAAAAGCAGTAAGCTTTGGCTGATTATCTTCTTTCTTCCTTGAAGCGGTCCTGTCGGCCTCTCACCTTTCGATGGCTTGTCTTATCTCAATTATAACACAATCACTGATATATCCTTGCTCTTTAAGCTGTTTGAGAGGCTCTAGGTGAAATATCTTTCTCAGTTTAGTGTGAAGTGCTTCTCTGTTGTTAGTTGGCACATTCGGAAGTGACAGTGAGTAAGAACGGTAAAGTAAAGAAAATGTTATTGTTATTACCATTTGGGTATTATGTATAAGAAAGGGGGGCCCTTAAATCTTTTAACATGATTGAAGGGGGGGTACCTAAAAAACATGGGTGCTATTAGTGGGGGTCTGGAAAAAATTTGGAATAAAAAACAATTTCTCCTCCACTCCCCCCTCCAACTTAAATTATGACTGGTCCCTAAAGCCTGAAACTGAGCAACAGGAATCTTGACGAAACGTCCCCAGTTATCACCTGTCCGGGGTCGTACTTTCAAGGAAACGCTGATCAAGAATCACTCATGACGGAATGAAAACTCCTCGTAGCTTCCAGCGAAAAAAGGAGTGACAACAGTGGTAAGCGGTCGTTCTGTGAAATGTAACGCAATCTTTGCCGTTTACGATCTTTCGGCGCTTGGATTTGAAACGTTGTTGTTTGGTATGTTCTCCCCTGTGGATACTTGACATTTCCAATATATGGAAACACCATGCTAAGGTACGAATAACAGACATTCACAACATTGTTTTGTACGCTAAAATCTGATTTCATGGACGTAAAACGTTTTGAATTTTAAGACTTTTTATATTAGTGCTTTGCCCTCCCTTTGACAACTTTACCTGACTGGTGCACTTGGCAGGAGTTGACAGCTTAAATCTGCTTTTCTTGATAGCAAACCGCATTAATTTATATCAGATCGCTGTATAAACACGTTTTGGTTTCTGAAAGCTGATAACATGAAACCACTATTGCTCAAACTGATTTCTTACTGTATTTTTCCAAGTTTTTAGCATCGGCCCGCTAAGTCTGGAAAGCTCAAATTTCAGAAAAGTACTACTTGTATTTTTTGGCCTCAAAAATTTTCTTTTAAGTTGCCCGTAGTTTTGAAAACAGATTTTGAAAGAAGATATAACGCTCTTTAACGTGGTATAAGACTCGTTACTGAAATCGAGGTACCAGTCGACGATTTTGGGCTTTGAAATTTGCCATTTTTTCATTGAACGAAAACGATCAAAATATTGAAAATAATGAAAAATCTTCAAAATATTACACTTTCGTTCAAACTGCGTAAATCACCACTTAGAATGTGTGCAATTAAGTACTCTTCTGAATAAGTTTTTGTTGTCCACATTACATTGGATTTGAATTTTAAAACGATTTTTTTGCGACACATGGTCTCGGGCCTGGAAAACCCGGTCCGAGAGCCGCGAAACCAATAACCCCCCCGTACGTGGAAAATAATTATCGGATCGAAGTAAAAATTACATTTATGTTAATAGCTTACCTAGCGCTACTTTGTGAATTTTTTTGAGAATTTTCGATTTTTCACTTTTGTAGACCTCTGGTCGATATTTACTGACATCCGCTCTTAATTACTGTCATTGCCGCAAACTTGTAAAAAAAAAAAAAAAAACGGTGGAGACGTTAGACCCAGTCTTGCACGGTAAAATATTGTTATCTGCTACATGTAATTTGTTTTCACATTCTGGCTGGTAACTGGACAAAGGTGATAGGCTTGTCATCAGAAATTGTTGGGTACGGTTATTTGCAAGTTTGGTTCGACCGTATCAAGCCAACATTTCACCCTAATGCGCTGACCAATAAAAGTCCGAAAGAAATAACTCGCTGCGCTTTCCAGATAGCCTTATCTAAAGTAAACAAGAAGTAAAAAAAAATTAACAACAATAATAATAATTATAATTAAATGTAAATTATAATTATCATAAAAATTATCCCATAATCCTTTGAGGCAATCTTTTTTGACAGCTTTATATCTTTGACAATTTAATACGTGGAAGAATATCAGACCACAACAACATTTACCATAGAATATCTTCTCATGTCACGTCTAGGGTGATGACGTCATCCGTCACGTGACCATAGCTAAATTAGGGTTTTTTGTTGCTGTGACAAGATTTCATCATTGGGTTAAAATAAAATAGTATATTTGAGGTTTTGGTTGTGTGGAGCATTTAAAAATAACCAGTTTACGTCCGGAATTTAAAATTTAAGGGGGCAATGAACATGAGCGAAGAAGTCAGGAAACTAGGCCAAGGGCAGTAGAGAGTTGACGTTTCATCACATGGCAGAGAAAATTGGCAGGAAAGAAATGTTCTACCTGACAATTTTTTTCATTACCAAAAGAGGGACATGATGTTATAAGTCACATGATCCGAGCATTTTAAATATTTTAGTTCGTTTTTAAAGTACATTTTTCGCCATAAATCTGCAAGTTTTTGTTGTTTTTCTCTACAAATCTTTACACTGTATTACCCCTAAGTAATTATTATTCCATTTTCAAAACAGAAGCAAACAAAAACTGAGCCAGAAGTTTAAAAGTTGCGTAAATTGACCAATATTGCAAATTAAAATCAAAAAGGAGACCTACTTTTTGAGACTTTTGTAAAATCCTTTTTCAACTTAACTGTTTGTTTGCCAAAATAGATGTTCAACGTTTGTTAATAAAGGAGAACTTTGAAAGCTTAAAGGATGTATTTGGCGGCCATATTGTTTTTCTTCATTCTCGGGAGAGAGATCATGTAGCAGTTCTTCTAACGCTAAAAGCCAAGTGGTTTGCTACTCTAACCTAAAAAAAATGGAAATAATGATAAACAATGTTGTGTTAATGTTTTCCCGCGACCGATGAGAAGACACCTTACGAGCAGGGAGAGAATCGTACGGTCATACTGTTCAGCCGGTAGCCGCGAGATCGATCATAAATTTCTTAAACGTTCCCCGGCATGGACCAAGCCTGAAAGAGTATTAATGGGTTTATTGTGAGCTTTACGTCTGGCTTCAATCAGTTAAAGATTTAATTCTACACGGAAACTGAAAAGTCTTCCTTAAAAACTGTCAATCACCATAGAGAAAGAATATATACCTCTTTAATTGTCAGCCCTTACCGAGGTGGTCCAGTGGATAGAGGCGTTCACTTTTAGTTCTAACGTATTCGGAGAGTCCAGGTTCGAATCTCCTTGAAGCAAATTTTTCGTGACCTTCTTTTTTTTCTTTTTTTTTTTACTCTCTTTTTTACCTGTGTGGTGCATATAGCTAGTAACATAATGTGGTAAATTGAAAGCAGAATATACAGGAATATATAAAAAAATGCCATATGTATCATAGCGCCTCTACTGGTATTTACTATAGTAATACTGGACACTGTTACCATTACCCAGTTCAAACGTCAAATTTCACAGGTGCCTAATTTAATTCGGAGGTAACTGCTTTGAGATACGACGTCTGAATCAACAGTTTCAAATTAAATACGACTTTGCCGAATCTTCGACTGAATTACAGTCGAAAATTCGACTTAGGTTCAACATTTGATTTAGAAGTCACATTTCACATGTGCCGAATATAATGCATTAATTATAGAAACCCTTATCCATATTGGGAACAATTGTTTCTAGAGACTGGGAATATTTACAACAAACAGATTTAAATTTGGCACCACTATATCCGACGTCTGAATCAACTGCCGTATTTTATTATCTTCTTCGACTGAAATAGGTGTTCGGTACTCATAAGAAATTCCACGTTTGAAAGGGGCCTAACATGACATAAGTTTCAGCTTAGTGGTTTGCGGGCTGTTCGTTATTAAGCTAGTTGTTTTTTCTTTCAGTAAGAGCAATTCCTATCTCTTTGTAAATCCATTTTATTAATCGGTTTGTGCCACGACTTAAGAATCAGCTGTAATAGTTGATTTTGTATGTCACTGGAGATGGTTTTTTATACAAAAAAGAGCGATCAATTTTCATCCACTCATTTCAATAAAAGCAAATGGCATCACTTCTCACTATAACGGACAACCTCGAACCGTGACTTCGTCGTATAAATTTGCGGCGCCGAAGAAAGACGAAAAAGCTAACCCTTTTTTATCAAATTATTTTAACCTTATTCAGACTGGCCTTTTTTGGTCAATCTGTGACTGGGGGTGGGGGGGGGCTTCTCGGACACCCCCCCTCTGTATCTCTGAAACCAATAACGCTAGGGTCATGAAATTTACACACAATGATCATCTCCGTACAAAGAAGCTCCACACCCAGTTTTGACTTGCCACGCCCAATGATGACGTCACAGTGGCGTCATATTCCGATTTTTCAATGTTTCTTCTTATTTTTCCACTTAGATACGTAAAATATCAATAATATTGGTAAAGTCATCTCTTTGTTATCCTTTCTTATGAACTAGTAACAAGGAAACACTTGTACAGCGAGAAAAAGCAATAGGAAGCAATAAAATTTAAAATTTGAAATGGTTGTCCGCCATCTTGGATCCGCGATCTTGGATTTCCGTTCTTTTGTTAAAATTATAATTTAAAGCAACTTTCAAAGGGGAAAAAGCTCAGAATATATAAAAGAAGTATCAAACTAATGTTTATTACCCAAACAAATGACTTTGGAAGTGTTATTTGGAAAATAGAGCAGCATATTTGTCAAAGCAAAAAAGTGACAAATTTTACCCCACCCCTCCCCCCCAAATATTCGATGTTGAAACATTTTGATTTAATTCAAAATCTAGTCCCAGGCAAAGACCATTTTAACAACACAAAGCACTATAAGTGTAAAAACGCGATCTTAAAAAAAAAATCACCATTTTTTAAATTTTCCAAAACCTATGTGTCAGAAACTGGTTGCCATGGCAACATGATTAATCACATGGACATGGTAATTACACCAAAATGTTCCTAAATAAATTTTAGGAAAAGTCAGAAAATTTGAACGTCATAACTCTTTCGGTTTAGGAGTTATCACGATTTTGCCGGAGGGGGGGTCGAAAAGCCCCCCCCCCAGTCTGAATAGGGTTAAGGTTTAAACTCGAAGCTTTATATAGTGTAAAATAATACACCGTATTCACAAATGGCGGAAAGGCGGGAAAAAACTGGTGCCTAGTCATGAAAGCGAGGCGTTGGAGGGTAAACAAAAATTGCAAATGAAGACTTTCAGTGAACTTGCAAAGTGTTTAGCACGGATTCCACCTAAAATAACTTTGTATGGACGTCTTTTTAAATGCAATGACGTAAGACGTCTTCTGCTTTTAATGTTTAGTACTGATTTGCTGTTTACAATCAAAAGGGACGCGTATATCTTCAAGGAAACAGGATGATTTTGTAGGTTTCCGAAGCCTCAGAAGCTCGACAGGATCATAACCTTGGTTTTGTCGTTGTTAAAGGCGAGGTAACTCCCCTTAGAGCAGACACTTACTTTATTAATGGATTGGTAGATAGTGTTTCTACAGTCATTTAGGTCAGATATTTTGGCATGATCATAGATTGTTGTGTCGTCCGCATACTGGAAGCATTTGACTTTTACGTTCTCCTGAAGATCAACAACATTAAAATTGAATGACACCGGGCCTAGGATGGAGCCTTGGGGAACCCCAAAATTCACGTTTTTAACCTCTGAGCACGTGTTATCGATCTGTACTAATTGTTTACGATGCATGACATAATTGAGTGTCCATATCAGAAAGTCTCTAGAGAAACCTAGTTTACTCATCTTGGTGATAAGATAGCGTGGCACTCCCGATTCCATTTCATTTTTTCCCATACAATGCATGAATAGTTTGCCAGAATTGGTGGTCATAAAACTACTGTTTCTCTCTCTCTAATCATTGTGTCAATAAATAAGAGAAGACAATAAAGGCACTCGTGCGTTTATTGTGTTCAAGACTTATCAAGGGACTCACCTACGCATGATTTTCCATCAGACGACAGTTGATACCCGCTGACACAAGAACAGCTATAGCTTCCTGGGGTATTTGTACAGATTTGATCACAGTCTGCTGGCACATGAAACAGAAAGTCCACAGGAACTGGTAGTGCATGCGAACTAAATGGTGTATATCCTGAAGACGAATAAACAAACCGAAGAACTAAGTAATCAAGTACAAAATCACAACGCGATTCCCTAAACAAAAGGTCAGCTCTGTAAAACTAAAATGTCGCGAGAACTAAGAAGTCAGATTTTTGTATGGCACGTATCAAAGCGCAAGGTTATTTGGGAGATTCGACAGAGCTTTCGCAGAGTATGGTTGGAGCGATAGGTCAATTCCAATATCCGACATGGACGGGGAAGTTTTGAATACCCAACATGTGACGTATCAGAATCGCCAGTGACCACAAAGCCTTGAAAAGTAGTAGGGATGACTTTCTGACTAACTGACGGAGAATCATTTTTCAATAGTGCCAATGCACAACGACTTTCGGAATCCATTATAGACTCACACGACACACTTCCACTGACTTTTGGTGAGATACTTTCAGACTGACTTTGTGAGTTTAGGGCACTTTGACTTGTTGAAACACTTCCTGATTAAAAGATAAAATAAACTAAATCGATCGATAAACCTGAAACATATTAGATAAAAAAATACTTGAGAAGCCCGCTCAACACCATATTTCTTAACGTGGAAGACATTTTGGATGAACTTAGCGTTAGAGTAGCTCCAAAGTTTCAACTGTGTCGACTGTCAGAGAAACATTTTTGTGATGTCGAAGCCAATGGATAACGAAGCACTTTGCTTGAACTGAAGCAGCAAACTTAGTGACTAAAATTGCAGGGTACTCACCAGAAATGCTGGGACTGATTGACGGCAAGAGACTTTTTGAGACTGAAAAGCTTGGACTTGTTGACACGCTTGCAGAAGTGCTTACTGTAACAGAAAAAAGCTACCAACATCACTAATATCGTACTAAGTAGGAGTCCTAAACAACATAAAAGAAGCCTTTAATACCAAGCTAGAATTACATAAACCTTCAGAGTTTGCAAAGTGGAAGGAGTCCGTAAATTTCTAGACGAACCTAGCGCTGAGTAGCTCCAACGTTTCAACATTGACTAAATCACTAACTGTCTAGGACAGTGTTTCTTCATTTGTCATGGCTTCGTCGCCAATTGGTGAGGCACTTTCTCATACTTTTCATGATCTGAGGAAAGGCGTTAACCCATTCACCTCTCATGATCGACCGCTCGTAACCGCCCTTGCGTACCCATGTTCCTTGTACCGTCTGTGATGTCATCACTTTTAACGGTCAAAGACAACATCGTCATCCGACTTGTGCATGGGGAAATGATCTTCAAAAACCATACCCAAATCACGATTCATCCAAACAGAGGACGGAGAAAAGAGACCATGTAAAGAAGACTCAAAATTTCCAATAAAAGTATCGTTCCACTACCCACTTGCACTTATCATTCAATCTAATCTGGCTACGATCCTACAGGATTTCCCCCAAACTTTAATTTCTCCACCTCAATTAAGCTTTAAGTAAATACTCCGCAAAAGAACAAAAAAGGCAGGAAAAAAAAGACTCACAAGGTAAGCTTGCGCTGATTGATGGTAAGACACTTGAAGACTCGCTTGTTAACACTGAGAAGATTACACTTCTGGACACGCTTGCTGAAGTACCCACTGAAAGACAAAGCAAACTAACATATGGTGTATATCCATAATTATACTCAAGAATACTAAACACCATAGTTTATTAAATAGGGTGACATTTTGAATGAATCTGGCGTGAGATAGCTCCAAAGGCTCAACTGTCGACTTAATCAGCTGACTAAAGGACTGACAGACTCTCAGAAAAACATATTTTGGATCGTGGACCCTAATGGATTATAAGGAAGCACATTGCTTGAAATGAAGCAGCGAACTTCAGAAAGTGACTAAAACTGCAGAGTACTAACCTGAAGCGCTGGGACTAATGAACAGCGAGAGGCTTGTATATTGTAGACACGCTTTTTGAGACTGAAAGCTTGGACTTGGTGACGGGCTTACAGAAGTGTTAAATAAAGTAGAAACCAACATCTGATGTAGTTCTAAGTAGAACTGAAGCTCTAAACCCATAAAAGTATCGCCTGATGAGGGGGAAGGGGGGGGGGCATTATACAAGAAACGTTTGGCAAGCTGGGGGGCATACAAAATTCCAAATGACTCTTCCTCAAATCTCATCAGCCCCCTCCTGTCGTATAAAAATGAACAGTCCCTAAATTAAACGTTTAACATCAAGCTAGAAGTACATGAAACTTTAGAGTTTGCAAGTGGAAAAACAGTAAAATTCTAGATAATGGATGAAGCGTTGAGTATACCTCCGAAGCTTCAGCTGTGAGTGAAAAACAAAATATCTCCTAAACATCTTTTCTTCACTTATATTTACGACTTCATCGTCAATAGAACGAGACACTTTTTCATACGCCGATTAACTTCTAAATGCACTTTATCACTTGATTTAAATAACTTGGACTATTGTAAAAGATTTTCGTCGCAATTTTACAGTTATAAGATCCAATTTAATCAATTTTAATCTCGACTATTTTAAAAGGCGAAGTAACAGGAAAATGAGAAGGCCTCGCCAGTGTCCAAAACGAGCATTAATAAATTAACCATAAAGTAAGAAGAAAAAAAACTTGCTTGGATCATAATACATGTAACATACTTAAACAAACGACTCCCGCATCCTCATTGTGATTGCAGTTATGTGAACCCCATCCGTAGTGAGGACAATTCTCAATGGAATCTTCACTTCCAGCACAGCTGACATCATCCAGCCAGATTTGACCACTTCCAGCACCAAAGTGTGCGGCCTGCGGAGCACTAAAAGCGCCAGAATATCCCAGCTCACGGCATACGACTCGGGCATTATTCAGATTCCAGATGTCATCGCAAACAGTTCCCCATGCACCGTTGTAGAAAACCTCTACTCTTCCCTCACCGTTCCAGCTTCCTCCAACAAGTCTCACTCGCTCTGTAAAAGTCGAATTTCTTACAATCAAAGACTGTCGGTTGTGGGTGCAAAATCACAGGAAATTCAACCAATAACAACTTATAATATCGAGCATGTGTCACAGAGATGGAGCATATGCAACTGAGACGAGGGCACTACTCGCGTACTTACTTGAACAAACGACAGATGCATCTTCATGGTGACCGCAGTTATGTGAACCCCATCCATAGTGCGGGCAATTCTCAATGGAATCTTCACTTCCCGCACAGTTGACATCGTCCAGCCAGATTTGACCACTTCCAGCACCAAAGTGGGCGGACTGTAGAGCGCTAGCAGCATCAGGATAACCAAGTTCGCGACATGCAACTCTTGCATCGTCCATATCCCAGCTGTCATCGCACACAGTTCCCCAGCTGCCGCTATACAATATCTCTACTCGTCCCTCTCCGTTCCAGTTTCCTCCAACAAGTCTCAGTCCTGAAAAGTCGAAGATAGACCTTGTGTAGTCAAGGACTACCTATTGAGGGTGTGTGCCACTGAACGAATTAGTTATCGTTTTCAAGATCTTGCTTTTTGAGTCTTACAGCGCATCAATTTCAGTATTCATTATCTTAAACAAAGGCGTGAGTTTTAGGGACGGGCACCCTAAATTTGTCGGTGGTACCAACACTTTGTTAGAAATATCTTTTTTATCATTTTAAAAGTAATAATTCTGTGTGGGAAACGAGTGATGATAAGATTAATGAGAAATGACCTTTTGTCTTTAACAACGAAAGAAAGTGAATGGATCAAGTCTTACACCTCTAGGAAACTTCCTATAATTTTCTATCCCCGGATTTGTCACTATTTTTTTTAAGATTTACAATACATGCTTACTAATAAGTTCTCACGCATTTTTAAACAATCTGGATACGTTTGTAAATGGATAGATGTGGTAGTTGTGAGAACAGCCGTACATGTAAGTTAATTCTGTCTTTAACCGAAACAAAACGTTGGCAACCCCACCATGTGAAAGCCGCCGCATTTCCTCGTTTCTCGCCGCTATCGACGCAAACCACATGCAAGCGCTGGAAAAGAAAAATTCTTAGCTCCGCTTGTAATAAGGTAAAGACCCTTTACACGAGGAAATAGGCACCCTTATAAAAAGCTGTGCTTGAATCAATAGTCAAAACCAGACTAAACAGAGACCTGTTTGCGATCACTACTTACTTGAGCAAACGACAGATGCATCTTCACCGTGACTACAGTCATGTGAGCCCCATCCACTATGCGAGCAATTTACAATGGAAGTTTCACTTCCCATACAGTTGACATCGTCCAACCAAATTTGACCGCTTCCAGAGCCAAAGTGTGCAAAACTATGAGCGCTAACAGCACCAGAGTATCCAAGTTCACGACATACGACTCTTGCATCGTTTAAATCCCAGCTGTCATCACACACAGTTCCCCAGTTGCCGTTGCAAAAAATTTCAACTCTTCCTTCTCCGTTCCAGCTTCCACCAACAAGTCTCAGTCCTGCGAAAAGAAAATTACAGACCATCTGATGTTACCCTAGAGAACTGTTTCTTTTAAATATCGCGCTGTCCACGTACACATGCGTGTATCACTAATAAAAGACAAAAGGCAAATTCCCTTGAGAACGTCACGTGGTCTGAACTCACCATCCAAGCTTGGACTGATTGATACACTTGCCGACACGCTTACTGGAAAATAAATACATAATATTAATAGCGATAATAATATTGATAACACACCTGCAAAATGCGTTAACCAGGGAAAAAATCAATATCATACTTAGGCGAACTAAACACGTCATCCTGGTTTTGTAGATTATCAAAGTAAAACTACACTATCTTACAAATGCCACGCGAGAAGTTTTGGATGTTTGATTTTCCAATTCTTAAAATCACTGTTTCGATGTACAATGACAACTTAGTTTCAGATCTGGAAACCGATGGAGAAATGTTAAGACTTACCCGACACTCCAGTTGGACTGATTGATGGTGATGCAATCGCTGAAGTGCCTGCTATAAGAGAAAATTAGCAGAGAAACAAACAAGAAGTAAGGGAAAATAGTGGTATGAACGTTTTGACGTGGTCGTATTTTGATTGTCCCTTATATAATGGCAATCCAATGTAATTGATTTTTCAATTCAAACCGTTTTGACGCGACTTAAATCTCTTTCAGTACCCTTACTTAAACGTTGAACACCAAGCTAGAAGTACATAAACCTTTAGACTTTAATTTGCAAGTGTAAGGCTCGTGAAAATACTAGATAATGGATGAAGCGTTGAGTATATACCTCTGAAGCCTTAACTGTGACTGAATGACAAAGTATCCGGGAAATTGTTTTTCTTTATATATTTTTAAAGACTTCGTCGTCAATAGAACGAGGCACTTTTTCATACCGTGGTTAACTGCTAAATGCAATTATCAAGAGATTTTTATAATCTGGACTATTGAAGAAGATTTTCCTCTCAACTTTACAGTTATAATAACCAATTCTTTTGGAAAGTAAAGTAACTAGAAAACAACAAGAACTTAGCAATGTCCAAAACGACCATTAAAAAAAATGACCCTAAAGTGAGTAGGAAATTATCAGGAACGTGCTTGGATCCTATTACATGTAACTTACTTAAACAAACGACCCCTGCATCCTCATAGTGATTGCAGTCATGTGAACCCCATCCATTGTGTGGACAATTCTCAATGGAATCTTCACTTCCCGCACAGTTAACATTGTCCAGCCAGATTTGACCACTTCCAGCACCAAAGTGGGCGGACTGTGGAGCACTAAAAGCGCCAGAATATCCCAGCTGACGGCATACGACTCGGGCATTATTCAGATTCCAGATGTCATCGCATACAGTTCCCCATGCACCGTTGTAGAATACCTCTACTCTCCCCTCACCGTTCCAGCTTCCTCCGACAAGTCTCACTCGCTCTGTAAAAGTCGAATTTCTTACAATCAAAGACTGTCGGTTGTGGGTGCAAATCGAGGGGGAATTAAACCAATAATAACCTATCATATCAAGCATGTGTCACAGAGATGGAGCATATGCAACTGAGACGAGGGCACTACTCGCGTACTTACTTGAACAAACGACAGATGCATCTTCATGGTGACCGCAGTTATGTGAACCCCATCCATAGTGCGGGCAATTCTCAATGGAATCTTCACTTCCCGCACAGTTGACATCGTCCAGCCAGATTTGACCACTTCCAGCACCAAAGTGGGCGGACTGTAGAGCACTAGCAGCATCAGGATAACCAAGTTCGCGACATGCGACTCTTGCATCGTCCATATCCCAACTGTCATCGCACACAGTTCCCCAGCTGCCGCTATACAATATCTCTACTCGTCCCTCTCCGTTCCAGTTTCCTCCAACAAGTCTCAGTCCTGAAAAGTCGAAGAAAGGCCTTGTATAGTCGAGGGCTACCTATTGAGGGGTGTGTGCCACTGAACGAATAAGTTATGGTTTTCAAGATCTTGAGTCTTACAGTGCAACAATTTCAGTATTTATTATCTTAAACAAATGCGTGAGTGTTAGGGACGGGCAGGCTAAATTTGTCCGTGGTACCAACACTTTGTTAGAAATATCTTTTTTGTCATGTTAAAAGTAATAATTCTGTGTGGAAAACGAGTGATGATAAGATTAATGAGAAATGACCTTTTGTCTTTAACAAGGTAAGAAAATGAATGGATCAAGTCTTACACCTTTAGGAAACTTGCTATAATTTCCTATCCCCGGATTTGTCACTACCTTTTTTAAGATTTACAATACATGCTTACTAATAAGTTCTTACGCATTTTAAGACAATCTGGATAGGTTTGTAAATGGATAGATGTTGTAGTTCTGAGAACAGCCGTACATGTAAGTTAATTCTGTCTTCAACCGAAACAAAACGTTGGCAACCCCACCCTGTGAAAGCCGCCGCCTTTCCTCGTTTCTCGCCGCTATCGACGCAAACCACATGCAAGCGCTGGAAAAGAAAAATTCTTAGCTCCGCTTGTAATAAGAACCTTTACACGAAGAAATAGTCACCCTTATAAAAAAGCTGTGCTTGCATCGATAGGGAAAACCAGACTAAACAGAGACCTGTTTGCGAACACTACTTACTTGAGCAAACGACAGATGCATCTTCACCGTGACTACAGTCATGTGAGCCCCATCCACTATGCGAGCAATTTACAATGGAAGTTTCACTTCCCATACAGTTGACATCGTCCAACCAAATTTGACCGCTTCCAGAGCCAAAGTGTGCAGAACCATGAGCGCTAACAGCACCAGAGTATCCAAGTTCACGACATACGACTCTTGCATCGTTTAAATCCCAGCTGTCATCACACACAGTTCCCCAGTTGCCGTTGTAAAAAATTTCAACTCTTCCTTCTCCGTTCCAACTTCCATCAACAAGTCTCAGTCCTGCGAAAAGAAAATTACAGACCATCTGATGTTACCCTAAAGAACTGTTTCTTTTAAATATCGCGCTATCCACGTACACATGCGTGTATCATTAATAAAAGACAAAAGGCAAATTCCCTTGAGAACGTCACGTGGTCTGAACTCACCATCCAAGCTTGGACTGATTGATACACTTGCCGACACGCTTACTGGAAAATAAATAGATAATATTAATAGCAATAATAATGATGATAACACACATGCAAAATGAGTTAACCAGGGAAAAAATCAATATCATACTCAGGCGAACTAAACACGTCATCCTGGTATTGTAGATTATCAAAGTAGAACTACACTATCTTACACATGAGACGCGCGAAGTTTTAGATGTTTGATTTTCCAATTCTTAAAATCACTGTCTCGATGTACAATGACAACTTAGTTTCAGATCTGGAAACCGATGGAGAAATTTTTACTTACCCAACACTCCAGTTGCACTGATTGATGGCGACACAATCGCTGAAGTGCCTGCTGTAAGAGAAAATTAGCAGAGAAACAAACAAGGAGTAAGGGAAAATGGTCGTATGAACGTTTTGACGTGGTCGTATTTCGATTGTCCCTCATATATTGGCAATCCAATGTAATTGATTTTTCAATTCAAACCGTTTTGACGCGACTTAAACCTCTTTCAGTACCCTTACTTAAACGTTGAACATCAAGCTAGAAGTACATAAATCTTTAGACTTTGCAAGTGTAAGGCCCGTAAAAATTCTAGATAATGGATGAAGCATTGAATATATACCTCTGAAGCCTTAACTGTGACTGAATGACAAAGTATCCGGGAAATTATTTTTCTTCATATATTTTTAAAGACTTCCTTGCCAATGGAACGAGGCACTTTTTCATGCCGCGGTTAACTGCTAAATGCAATTTATCAAGAGATTTATATAATCTGGACTATTGAAGAAGATTTTCCTCTCACCTTTACAGTTATTTTGGAAAGTGAAGTAACTAGAAAACAACAAGAACTTAGCAATGTCCAAAACGACCATTAATAAAATAAATTGACCCTAAAGTGAGTAGGAAATTATCAGGAACGTGCTTGGATCGTATTACATGTAACTTACTTAAACAAACGACCCCCGCATCCTCATTGTGATTGCAGTTATGTGAACCCCATCCATTGTGTGGACAATTCTCAATGGAATCTTCACTTCCCGCACAGTTGACATTGTCCAGCCAGATTTGACCACTTCCAGCACCAAAGTGGGCGGACTGTGGAACACTAAAAGCGCCAGAATATCCCAGCTGACGGCATACGACTCGGGCATTATTCAGATTCCAGATGTCATCGCATACAGTTCCCCATGCACCGTTGTAGAATACCTCTACTCTCCCCTCACCGTTCCAGCTTCCTCCCACAAGTCTCACTCGCTCTGTAAAAGTCGAATTTCTTACAATCAAAGACTGTCGGTTGTGGGTGCAAATCGAGGGGGAATTAAACCAATAATAACCTATCATATCAAGCATGTGTCACAGAGATGGAGCATATGCAACTGAGACGAGGGCACTACTCGCGTACTTACTTGAACAAACGACAGATGCATCTTCATGGTGACCGCAGTTATGTGAACCCCATCCATAGTGCGGGCAATTCTCAATGGAATCTTCACTTCCCGCACAGTTGACATCGTCCAGCCAGATTTGACCACTTCCAGCACCAAAGTGGGCGGACTGTAGAGCACTAGCAGCATCAGGATAACCAAGTTCGCGACATGCGACTCTTGCATCGTCCATATCCCAGCTGTCATCGCACACAGTTCCCCAGCTGCCGCTGTACAATATCTCTACTCGTCCCTCTCCGTTCCAGTTTCCTCCAACAAGTCTCAGTCCTGAAAAGTCGAAGAAAGGCCTTGTATAGTCAAGGGCTACCTATTAAGCGGTGTGTGTCACTGAACGAATAAGTTATGGTTTTCAAGATCTTGAGTCTTACAGTGCAACAATTTCAGTATTTATTATCTTAAACAAATGCGTGAGTGTTAGGGACGGGCAGGCTAAATTTGTCCGTGGTACCAACACTTTGTTAGAAATATCTTTTTTGTCATGTTAAAAGTAATAATTCTGTGTGGGAAACGAGTGATGATAAGATTAATGAGAAATGACCTTTTGTCTTTAACAAGGTAAGAAAATGAATGGATCAAGTCTTACACCTTTAGGAAACTTGCTATAATTTCCTATCCCCGGATTTGTCACTACCTTTTTTAAGATTTACAATATATGCTTACTAATAAGTTCTTACGCATTTTAAAACAATCTGGATAGGTTTGTAAATGGATAGATGTTGTAGTTCTGAGAACAGCCGTACATGTAAGTTAATTCTGTCTTCAACCGAAACAAAACGTTGGCAACCCCACCCTGTGAAAGCCGCCGCCTTTCCTCGTTTCTCGCCGCTATCGACGCAAACCACATGCAAGCGCTGAAAAAGAAAAATTCTTAGCTCCGCTTGTAATAAGAACCTTTACACGAGGAAATGGTCACCCTTATAAAAAAGCTGTGCTTGCATCGATAGGGAAAACCAGACTAAACAGAGACCTGTTTGCGAACACTACTTACTTGAGCAAACGACAGATGCATCTTCACCGTGACTACAGTCATGTGAGCCCCATCCACTATGCGAGCAATTTACAATGGAAGTTTCACTTCCCATACAGTTGACATCGTCCAACCAAATTTGACCGCCTCCAGAGCCAAAGTGTGCAGAACCATGAGCGCTAACAGCACCAGAGTATCCAAGTTCACGACATACGACTCTTGCATCGTTTAAATCCCAGCTGTCATCACACACAGTTCCCCAGTTGCCGTTGTAAAAAATTTCAACTCTTCCTTCTCCGTTCCAACTTCCATCAACAAGTCTCAGTCCTGCGAAAAGAAAATTACAGACCATCTGATGTTACCCTAAAGAACTGTTTCTTTTAAATATCGCGCTATCCACGTACACATGCGTGTATCATTAATAAAAGACAAAAGGCAAATTCCCTTGAGAACGTCACGTGGTCTGAACTCACCATCCAAGCTTGGACTGATTGATACACTTGCCGACACGCTTACTGGAAAATAAATAGATAATATTAATAACAATAATAATGATGATAACACACATGCAAAATGAGTTAACCAGGGAAAAAATTAATATAATACTTAGGCGAACTAAACACGTCATCCTGGTATTGTAGATAATCAAAGTAGAACTAAACTATCTCACACATGCCACGCGAGAGGTTTTGAATGTTTGATTTTCCAAATTCTTAAAATCACTGTTTCGATGTACAATGACAACTTAGTTTCAGATCTGGAAACCGATGGAGAAATTTTTAGACTTACCCGACACTCCAGTTGCACTGATTGATGGCGATACAATCGCTGAAGTGCCTGCTGTAAGAGAACATTAGCAGAGAAACAAAAATGGTCGTATGGAATTTTGACGTGGTCGTATTTTGTATTGCCCTTAATAATGGCAATCCAATGTAATTAATTTTTTAATTCAAACAGTTTTGACGCACCTTAAATTACTCTCAGTACCTTTACTTAAACGTTGAAGATGCAGCTAGAAGTTAATGAACCTTTAGAGTTTGCAAGTGGAAGGGCGGTAAAATTCCAGATGAGTGTTCGCTTCCGGATTTTTTTGATTGACAGGAACACGTGACCATGAGACACGAACATGTGTGTTTTTTTTTTTAGTCTTTGCGCTGGGGACAGTGTTCGCGTTTTGATAGGCGACTTCTCGACATTTTCCATTCGGGCCGGGAGATTTTGTGCGACTTTGAGAGTGAAAGTGTGAGAAACAAAGGAGGATAGAGTTATTCAACCACCCAGTGAAACTTGTGTCAAACAGTGGAAAAGAGTATAGAGTTATTCAACCACCGAGTGAACTTCGTGTCAAACATTGAAAAGCAAATAACAGCACCGTGTGGGAACGTCGAGAGTGATCGTGTAATTGTGCTTGAAATGAGTGTTTAAAACGGAAGGAGAGACCAAACACTGAAGTTAATTTCATCTAGCGAGTCTACCAGCACGTCCAAAGCAAGTAAAAGCTCAACTTCAAGCAGAGAAACTCGCCCTTGAGTTAGAAGTAGCCGAGCAAAGGTGCGAAGAAGAAATCAGGCCACTCTGCTAGGACTTAAAAGGAGAGCTGAAGAAACGAAATGAGAAGTGGCTTACGAAGATGCCCTTGCTATTGAGGATTCTAATCATGAAGAGATTGACGATAAAGATTTGGCGGAATTACCTGTTGTTAGTGTAGAGGATTGTGTTTCACGCTTACATCTAAACTATGCTTCCAACACTCAGACTGTTGTTGATAATAAACGTCCCGTTAGAAAGAATCCTTAAACGTTCCAGGCGTTGAAGAAGGCGATGACAATGGAGAAATTAAGCTAACTGTAAAACCGGAGACAAGAAAATCTCGAGGCGAAAATACGATGTGCAGCCCGGCTGCCACAGGGAGCCCAGGTGAGCGACAAGTCCAGTTAGATCAACTTTTTGAGAAAATGCTTCCAGCGTTCATTAAAATTTTCAAACCAAGTGTGCCAAAATTTAGCGGAGATCCACTCGAGTATTCGAAGTTTAAAGAAGCATTTATAGCGGGTATGGGCAAAAAGGACGTTTATGATGCTACAGAGAAGCTTAAATTTCTATTAGATGCAGTAGATGGAAATGCAAAGTCCTGTTTCGCAAAATTCATGCCAGGTTCTGATAAATATGTGGAGGCATCGACCACGGTCGATGATCGTTTTGGTCGCGTGGACACTGTTGTGTCAGCAGCTAAAAGGCGTGTAGATCAATTCCCAGTCATAGTGAAAGAAAATAATGAGCAGATAAGGCAGTATCAAGAAATGGTGTCGGAGTTAATGGGCGTGTATGAGGAACACAACTTTGTTCATGAGTTAAAGTCGCAGATTCCCGAAGCAAACGTTGATAAGCTTCCTTTTCATTGTTGCGGTAGATGGACTGCGTTTGTGGAAGGAAAATCGAAACGGTCTACCTGGGAGTCGTTTGCGAATTGGCTAGAAAAAGAAGCGAAAATATGCGAGTCAAAGCGAAGGTGGATTTCGGAGAAGCGAGAATGGAGAAGGTTTGATTCGACTAGGAGTGATTTACCTAAAGATGGTTGACGTAAGTCTAGTGGCAATCCAGTGCCAGGACTGTTTGCGGGAGCAACACAAGAGACTCCTTCAGTTGATGAAAAGTTAACAAAGAAGTGTCCAGTTCATAACTGGACAAGTCATGCGTTAGAGCAGTTTAAGGAATTGCCCGCTCTCAAGAAAGAGAAACTCGTTCATGAACATAAACTTTGCCTGTCTTGTCTGTTGCCGGGCCATGGCTAAACAAATGCAATGCTAAGAATAGATCCAAAGTTGAGGGCTGTTCCATGTATCACCACACTCTTGTTCATGAGGTTGACTTGAACATTATTGAGCGACCAAGAGCGAGAAAAGCAGAAAAACTGGCAGTGGGTGAAGGAGCCCAGAAACCTTCTGTTCCGGAGGGTGAGAACAAACCTCTAGATCAGTCAGAGAAATCGCGGGAGCAGTGTCATCACTCGGTGTGTTTAGGGTGCGAGGTTGGTGGTCGTGCGTTGGTTAAGGAGCTGCCTGTACTTCTGTTTTCAGAGAAAGGCGAACAACAAGTTATGGCGTTGCGTGACTCAGGATGTAACACAACACTCATGGATGAAGAATTGGCTCAGTCACTTGGTCTTTAAGACAAGCAGATAGAATTGCAAATTCAAGGTGTTAATGCAGAGAAGGCGTTTACCTCGCAACATACAAAGAACTGTCGAATTGCTAGAGTTGGTAGAGAAGGGGTGAAGTACGTACTGAGAGATGTAAAAACGTTTCTTAACCTAAGTGGTCCGGATCACAAGATAAAGTGATCGCGCGGCGATTAAACAGAGCTTTAACCACCTGAAAGACTTGGACTTGAGGGACACAGGACACGGGTCCAGTGCGACTGATAATAGGAAGAAAAAAGTCAGATTTGATTCTACCAACGCGGATGGTGAAACCTTCAGGACAGTCACATGCTGACAGAATACCATACACAGTCGAGACACCTCTCGGTTGGGCATTCACTAACTGGTTAACCGGTGAACAAAAGGTGGCATCACCATACAATGCCGTTAAAGTGTATGAAACAAGTACAGGCGAAGAGGAGGAGTTGCAGCGGTTGCTTACTGCTCAGTCGGAGGTAGAGTCATTAGGTGTGGTGAAGCTAGCAGATCCCGTGCGTTCAATTGAGAGCAGCCGAACGTTGTCAGTAATGGAGCAGACGACTAAGAAATTGGAGGGTGAAGACGCTTATGTGTCAGGGCTGCTTTGGCGAGAAGACTCATCCCTTCCTAATAAATATGACATGGCTGAGCGGAGACTTAAAAATGATCCTTAAATTAAGGAACGATATGCGAAGTCAATCCAGGATGACATTGAGAAGGGTTATGTGAGAAAACTAAGCGACGAAGAAGTATGCACTGATAGCAAAGTAACCTGGTACTTACCATACCGTTTCGTTATCAATTCCAAGAAACCTGATCATCTTAGGAGAGTATATGATGCATCAGCGAAAATAAGGGGTCAAAGTCTTAATGATAAGATGTACACAGGACCAGATTACTTGTCGTTGTTTGGTGTTTTGCTTTGATTTTGCGAAGGAAGAATTGCGTTCACTGCAGACGTGTTAGAAATGTACCACATGTTGCGTTTACCTGAGAGTGATCAGTCAGCCATTAGGTTTTTTTGGAGAGAATCACCGAGCGAAAAACCGAGTGTCTACCAGTTCCAGAGGACACTCTTTGTAGTGTCGGCGCTATTTCGTGCCAACTACACAATGAGGCGGAATGCGGATGAGAACGGGGGAGTTAACAAAAGACCCTGAGGTGTTAGCAGCTATTCCTGTAGAGGATAGATCTCCCCGTTTCCTTGAGTTGAGTGAAAATAAATTACCAAATTAAAAGACCAAGAATTGGGCATTGCGTGGGATGCTCAACAAGATGTATTTAGGTTCAATGCACCTAAACGAGAAGCAGCTACTACAAAGAGATCAGTCTTAAGCCAAGTATTCTCTGTGTGGGATCCTCGAGGACTTCTCCTCCCGTTTTCAATCAGAAGGAAGATTATCATTCAAAATCTGAATCACTTAAAGTATGGATGGGGTGATGAGTTGAAAGAAGCTGATCTTCGTGAGTGGCGCGAATGGTTTAAAGAATCAATTAACGAATCTGCTTGAAACTGTGCAAATTCCGCGACCACTATTCAGCCAGAACGAGCCATTTCGAGAAACTAACCTGCACGTGTTTTGTGACGCGAGCCAAGATGCTTACGGAACGTCTGGGTACCTTAGACGAGGGTTTGAAGATAATGTAGTTGAATGCAGACTAGTCGCTGGGAAAGGTCGAGTTGCGCCTCTTGAGCCTGTGTTGGGATAGAAAAGATATTCGTCCCTAGCTGAACTAAGACGAGTGCTGGCGTACGTGATGAGACTTGGAAAGAATACACGAGTAAAGAAGGAACTGCGTCAGACGAGATCGCTGACAGCAACAGAGTTAAGAGCTGCTCAGAGCCAGCTAGTAAAGATAGCACAAGTAGAGGCTTTTGGCGAGGAGATAAGGTGCCTGGAAAATGGTCAGGAGGTTCATAAGTGGAGCAGAATCAAATCTCTTGATTCGAGAATGGAAGGTGGATTTCTAGTAGTCAGTGGAGGGTTGCAAAAAGCACAGGCCCTCCCTTACAAGGCACGACACCCAAGAAAATTGACTCACATCATGAGCTTGCGCAGCTGATCATCGAGTACATCCATCGTACCTACCACCATCCACCAACCGAACATTGCTGAATCTAATTAGACAGGATTATTGGATCATCCATTGTTGTCAAGCTGTAAGGAGCGTGACATTTAAGTGCAATTAATGTTATCCTCAGACAATAAAACCCCATGAGCAGCATATGGGAAACTTACCTGAGCGTATACTTGAACCTGGAATGGTATTCATGAACACTGGAGTTGATTATTTTGGTCCTATGATAATTAAGGAGAGACGCAGTGAAGTTAAAGTGTACGGTTTTTTGTTTGTTTTCATGGCTACTTGAGCTTGTCATCTTGAACTGGTAAACGATCTATCAACAGATCATTTCATTATGGCTTTGAAGAGGTTCATTCGGCGTGGGAGACCACAAAGAATATACAGCGATAATGGAACTAACTTTGTAGGGGCCAATAATGAGCTTTCGAAATGTCTTAAGCAACTGAATTGGAATAAAGAGAAAGTAAAAAACTTTTGTGCACCGAACAAAATTGAGTGGAATTTCCAACCGCCAAGTGCACCCACTTCGGTGGCGCGTGGGAGAGGTTAGAACTGCTCTAGTGGAAGCAGAAGGGTACTGAACGGTCGTCCCATCACAAGCGATGTGGGTGATATAAAAGCGCTGACGCCAAATCATTTTCTGCTTCTGCGAGCAAACCCGAGTAATGAAGAAGCTGATGTTAGTGAGAGAGAGATCAACTCAACGAAACTATGGCGACAGTTTCAAGCGCTTGTCAACTTCTTTTGGAAGCGCTTTATCAAGAAGTATATCCCTAAGCTTACAGAGAGGAAGAAAAGGAAAGAGAAGAGAAAGAATCTGAGGAAAGGAAACGTAGTGCTTGTTGCAGAACCGAACCAGCCACGAGGTATATGGCCTTTAGGTAGGATTGTGTCTACTCATCCTGGACAAGATGGGATGGTCCGAGCAGTCACAGTGCGTACTCAATACGGGGAGTACAAGAGACCAATCACAAAACTGTGTTTCTTAGAGGATGCGGAGACCTAGGTCTAGAAACTGTAAGTAGTCGTGACTTTGTGTCGCGCCTAGGGGCGGGAATGTGCCTCCGCTTCCGCTTTTTTTTTTAATTGACATGAACACGTGACAATGAGACACGAACATGTGTGGAAAGTGCTCGGACGCGTTTTGATAGTCGACTTCTCGGCACTAGGTAATGGGTGAAGCGTTGAGTATATACCTCTGAAGCTTCAACCGTGACTGAATGACAAAGTATCTGGGAAACACTTTTTTTCATTTATGCTTTAAGACTTCGTCGCCAATAGAACGAGACACTTTTTCATACGGCGGTTAACTTCTAAATGCACTTTATCAAGAGATTTAAATAATCTGGACAATTGTAGAAGATTTTCCTCTCAACTTAACAGTTTTAACAACCAATTGTCAAACTTTAATCTCCATTATTTTAGAAAGTGGAGTCATTGGAAAACAAGAAAACTTACCAGTGTCCAAAACAAACATTATAAATTAACTATAAAGTGAGTAAGTAGTTATCGGCAACGTGCTTGAATCGTCTTACATGTAACTTACTTAAACAAACGACCCCTGCATCCTCATTGTGATTGCAGTTATGTGAACCCCATCCATTGTGTGGACAATTCTCAATGGAATCTTCACTTCCCGCACAGCTGACATCGTCCAACCAGATTTGACCACTTCCAGCACCAAAGTGGGCGGACTGTAGTGCACTAGCAGCATCAGGATAACCAAGTTCGCGACATACGACTCTTGCATCGTCCATATCCCAGCTGTCATCGCACACTGTTCCCCAGCTGCCGCTATACAATATCTCTACTCGTCCCTCTCCGTTCCAGTTTCCTCCAGCAAGTCTCAGTCCTGAAAAGTCGAAGATACGCCTAGTATTATCAAGGGCTACCTATTGAGGGGTGTGTGCCGCTGAACGAATAAGTTATGGTTTTCAAGATCTTGAGTCTCACAGTGCAACAATTTTAGTATTTATTATCTTAAACAAACGTGTGAGCGTTATGGACGGGCAGGCTAAACGTGTCGGTGGCGCCAACATTTTGCAATGGCTCAGAAAGTGATCTAGGGTCGGTAAAAGTCATTATTCTGACGACTCGTTTTTGCAACTTTAAAGTAGCTACCGGTTTTAGGTAGGTTGGGTATGTGAGACCCCAAACTTGAATACTGTAAGTAAGAAAGGGGTAAATTAGGGAACCGTAAAGCATAATAAGTATATCAACATTAACATAGTACCTTAATTTGGAAAATATGCCTACAGTTTTCGATAGTTTTAAGCAGAGTTCATTAACATGATTCTTTAATGACTTGTATGGTTTTAGTTTCTTAGAATAAAAAAGAAAAAAATTAGTTTTGAAAATACTGAGAGCTAGTCTATTAGATTTCATCCACTCAGTCACTGCGTGGAGCTCTTGAGTTAGGATTTAAGTTCAAGATCAATAAGGTTTTACGTGAACAATATATATTAGTGTCATCAGCAAACAAGTGGAAACTAAGCAGTTTCGAAGTGTTCGGTAAATCATTAATATATACCAAAAACAACAGGGATCCAAGAATGGATCCATGAGGTACTCCACGAGAGTGATTGAGAAAGAATCAGATTTATGGCCATTTATACATACAAATTGTTCTCTATTGGACAGATAGATTGAAACAATCATAGGGTTCACCTCTCACTCTGTAATGATTCAGTTTTGATAAAAGAATGGAATAATTAACTGTATCAAATGCCTTTTTTAGATCAATAAAAATGCCACAGCCAAACTCATTGTTGTCAATTGAGTTACGGATTGATTCAGTAATTTTTATCAGTGCATGATCTGTCGAGCACTTTTGCCTAAAGCCAATTGAAGTGGAAGTTTTGCCAGTTTAAGTTTACTGGGGAAAATACCACAGAGATTAGGAACGAAATAAGTGGGGAAATATGAGTCTTAAGAGGTGGCATGTTGACTTTCTTTTGGTTTTTTCGTTTGTCAGGCATCTTGTTAATCAGAATGAATTAATACTATTTAAGTTTAGACGAAAACAACGAGACCAGATCAGCGAAAACAGGAACTGCTCAAAAACACAACCGCCACCTTTCCCGACCGCCGATCAGAAATGACTTTTTGTCTTTAACAAAATGACAAAATAAATGGATCAAGGTTTGATTGCTGCAGCCTTACATCCCTAGGAAACATGTTATAATTTCCTTTCCCTTTTATGTCACTACCTTTTTTAAGATTTTCAATACATGTTTACCGACTAATGAGTCCTTAAAATACTCGCGAGAACGATTTAAACGCATTTTAAAACAATTTGGATAAGTTTGTAAACGCATAGATGTTGTACTTGTGAGAACAGCCGTACATGTAAGTTAATTCTGTCTTCAACCAAAACAAAACGTTGGCTGCTGTTTTGTTTTTAACGTTAAACCCGTGGGCCCCAAATTAAACATTGCAAATTTCGTAACGCAGGATTATAGCCACATCCTGCAAGCATATGCTGTGGGTGTTTTTGGCTGTTCACATGCACCCTTACAGGAACGTGATTTTGTCTCAATCATTAGGTATAAAGTTAGTTCCTTAGCTCTATCTTGTTATACTCCCTGATGAAGTCTGTGTGATCAGACGAAACCATTCGGAGAAATAAAATCAAGTAAACAAGATCCTCGCGTTGCTTTGCGCTGCTCACTAGTGTTCATTTAAAAAATTGTAAAGACCCTTTACAAGATGAAAGAGGAACTCTTCTAAAAAGCTGTGTTTGCATCAATAGTGAAAACCAGACTAAACAGAGACCTGTTTGCGATCACTACTTACTTGAACAAACGACAGATGCATCTTCATGGTGACCGCAGTTATGTGAGCCCCAACCACCATGCGGGCAATTTACAATGGAAGTTTCACTTCCAATACAGTTGACATCATCCAACCAAATTTGACCGCTTCCGGAGCCAAAGTGTGCAGAACTATGAGCACTAACAGCACCGGAGTATCCAAGTTCACGACATATGACTCTTGCATCGTCTAAATCCCAGCTGTCATCACACACAGTTCCCCAGTTGCCGTTGTAAAAAATTTCAACTCTTCCTTCTCCGTTCCAGCTTCCTCCAACAAGTCTCAGTCCTGCGAAAAGAAAATTACAGACCATCTGATGTTATCCTAGATAACTGTTTCTTTTCAATATCGCGCCATCCAGGCACACATGCGTGTATCACTAATGAAAAGACAAAAGGCAAATTCCCTTCAGAACATCATGTGGTCTGAACTCACCATCCAAGCTTGCAAAAAAAAATGGTAAAATATTTTAACAACATGAATTTTTCTGTTTAATAGAGTGTAGGTGGCATTGGCGACTAGTGAAGCTTGTTACCACGACAAACTACTTTTGTTGAACTCTATAATGTATACTTTTAATACTTCTAGTTTATAAAAAAATACATTTTTTTAAAAAAATTGTAAGACATTTAAACAACATTAATTTTCCTACCTAATAGGGTGTAGGAGGCATTGGAAAACAGTTTGTAACGGTTGATAAAATTCAAGTATTGTCAAGACTGTATATGTAGAAGAGGATAACAATAAATCAAGTTGTGATGAATACATATTTTTGCCTTGTTTTTGTGTGAACGTGGATCCTAGGGCAACCTTTGTAGGTAACAATTTAAGACAAAGAGCAAAAGCCAATTCTTTTTTTCAAATTCTGGATTGAAAGGGAGTCACGAAAAGAAGTACATTGGAATCGTCCCCATCTTTCGAAACTCCAACGGATAAATACTTGAGGGTTAAAAAGAGTGCTTGACCAAAAAGGGAAATAATTTCTATTGGAATGATCGGGAATTTCGAGAAACGAGAATTATGCTGTATTATTTAAAAAAAAAAAAAAGAAATTGGAAGTCAAATGTCACATCTACTAACCAACGTACTTAGGCGGACTAAACACGCCATCCTGATTTCGTATATTATCAATATGGTAGAACTACATTAACTGACACATGCCACGCGAGAAGTTTTTAATTAAAAGTTTGATATTCCAATTCTTAAAATGACTGTCTCGATGTAATCTGAGAACTTTGTTTCAGATCTGGAAACCGATGGAGAAATTTTAAGAGTTACCCGACACTCCAGTTGCACTGATTGATGGCGATACACTCGCTGAAATGCCTGTCGCTAAAGAAAATTAGCAGAGAAACAAACAAAGAGTAAGGGAAAATGGTCGTATGAACTTATTGACGTGTTCGTATTTTGTATTGTCCCTCATATAATGACAATCCACTGTAACTGATTTTTCAATTCAAATACAGTTTTGACGCACCTTAAATCACTTCCAGTACCTTTACTTAACCGTTGACGATCCTACTAGAAGTACATAAACCTTCAGAGTTTGCAAGTGGAAGGCCCGTAAAATTCTAGATAATGCATGAAGCGTTGAGTATATAACTCCCAAGCTTCAACTGTGACTGAATGACAAAGTATCTGGGAGATTTTTTCTTCATTTTTGTTTTACGACTTCGTCGACAATAGAACTAGACACTTTTTCATACGGCCGTTAACTGCTAAATGAACTTTATCAAGAGATTTATATAATCTGCATGGACTATTGAAGATGATTTTCCTCTCAACTTTACAGTTTATAATTATAACCAATTGTCAAATTTAATCTCGATTATTTTACAACGTGAAGTAACTAGAAAACAAGAAGAACTTACCAATGTCCAAAACAAACATTAATAAATTAACCATAAAGTGAGTAGGAAATTATAACCAACGTCTTTGGATCGTATATTACATGTAACTTACTTAAACAAACGACCCCTGCATCCTCATTGTGATTGCAGTTATGTGAGCCCCATCCATTGTGTGGACAATTCTCAATGGAATCTTCACTTCCTGCACAGCTGACATCGTCCAACCAGATTTGACCACTTCCAGCACCAAAGTGGGCGGACTGTAGTGCACTAGCAGCATCAGGATAACCAAGTTCGCGACATACGACTCTTGCATCGTCCATATCCCAGCTGTCATCGCACACAGTTCCCCAGCTGCCGCTATACAATATCTCCACTCGTCCCTCTCCGTTCCAGTTTCCTCCAACAAGTCTCAGTCCGGAAAGGTCAGCTAAAGTCGAAGATAGGCCTATTATTATCAAGGGCTACCAAATGAGGGGTGTGTACCGCTGAACGAATAAGTTATGGTTTTCAGGAAAGTTTTTAATCAAAGGTTTGATATTCCAATCCTTAAAATGACCGTCTCGATGTAATCTGAGAACTTTGTTTCAGATCTGGAAACCGATGGAGAAATTTTAAGAGTTACCCGACACTCCAGTTGCACTGATTGATGGCGATACACTCGCTGAAATGCCTGCCGCTAAAGAAAATTAGCAGAGAAACAACAAAGAGTAAGGGAAAATGGTCGTATGAACTTTTTGACGTGGTCGTATTTTGTATTGTCCCTCATATAATGGCAATCCACTGTAATTGATTTTTCAATTTTAATACGGTTTTGACGCACCTTAAATCACTTCCAGTACCTTTACTTAACCGTTGACGATCTACCTAGAAGTACAAGAACCTTCAGAGTTTGCAAGTGGAAGGCCCGTAAAATTCTAGATAATGCATGAAGCGTTGAGTATATAACTCCCAAGCTTCAACTGTGAATGAATGACAAAGTATCTGGGAGATTTTTTCTTCATTTATGTTTTAAGACTTCGTCGACAACAGAACTAGACACTTTTTCATACGGCGGTTAACTGCTAAATGAACTTTATCAAGAGATTTATATAATCTGAACTGTTGAAGGTGATTTTCCTCTCAACTTTACAGTTTATAATAATCAATTGTCAAATTTAATCTCGATTATTTTACAACGTGAAGTAACTAGAAAACAAGAAGAACTTACCAATGTCCAAAACGAACCTTAATAAATTAACCATAAAGTGAATAGGAAATTATAAGCAACGTGTTTGGATCGTATTACATGTAACTTACTTAAACAAACGACCCCTGCATCCTCATTGTGATTGCAGTTATGTGAGCCCCATCCATTGTGTGGACAATTCTCAATGGAATCTTCACTTCCCGCACAGCTGACATCGTCCAACCAGATTTGACCACTTCCAGCACCAAAGTGGGCGGACTGTAGTGCACTAGCAGCATCAGGATAACCAAGTTCGCGACATACGACTCTTGCATCGTCCATATCCCAGCTGTCATCGCACACAGTTCCCCAGCTGCCGCTATACAATATCTCTACTCGTCCCTCTCCGTTCCAGTTTCCTCCAGCAAGTCTCAGTCCTGAAAAGTCGAAGATACGCCTAGTATTATCAAGGGCTACCTATTGAGGGGTGTGTGCCGCTGAACGAATAAGTTATGGTTTTCAGGATCTTAAGTCTTACAGTGCAACAATTTAAGTATTTATGATCTTTAAGAAAGGCGTGAGCGTTATGGACGGGCAGCCTAAATGTGTCGGTGGCGCCAACATTTTCTTAAAAATATCTTTTTTGTCATGTTAAAAAGGTAAAAATTCTGTGTGGGAAACGAGTAATGATAAGATTAATGAGAAATGACCTTTTGTTTTTAACAAGGTAAGAAAATGAATGGATCAAGGTTTGATTGATTCAGCCTTACACCCCTACGAAACATGGTATAATTTCCTTTCCCTGAATTTGCCACTACCTTTCTTAAGGTTTTCAGTACATGCTTGCCAACTAATGAGTCCTTAAAATACTCCGTTTTCGCGAGAACGATTTAAACGCATTTTAAAACAATCTGGACACGTATGTTAACGCATAGATGTTGTATTTGTGAGAACAGCCGTACATGTAAGTTAATTCTGTCTTCACTTATTTCGATACAGTTGTTCAGAGGCCATACCGACATTTTTCAATCGCCTTAAAAGTGGTTTTTCCCTTGTCCGATCGCTATAAAATTTTCACCAGTAATTGGCTATGGATTAAAAATTTGTGTAAATGCAGTTTTAAGTAACATCGATATTACTTTCAATGACAACAATAAACAAAAATCTTTCAAATCGATAAAAGCCGAATTTTGTATGATCTTGACCAGCTACCGAATGACTCAAATTACTCTTTAGTAGCGTCAGAATGCTGCTTAATATCATATTTTGATGTTAGGAAATTTTAGTGAATTTTTGTTCTTGCGATCTTGAAAGCTAACTCGTTTTCTCACCACCTGTATAAGTGCAACTTCATTCAAAATTTGAACTTTTACGCGTTTTTGTATATCACTGAAACGACTCCAACAAATTTTTCTAAAATCTCTTCACATAATCTTCATAATGTATATAACAAGGTCACTCTGAAACTTTCATTGAGATTGATTCACTGCAACATCTTAAAATTTCAAGACAAACCTGCCCTACGTACCTGTCAAAAATCTGCGTTACATCATTCACTGTTTTGACGTTATGCTAATTTTTCCAAAAATAATGCGCACTATACATACCTCCATGACTAGTACATTTTAGTTTGAATTTATCGCATCTTTTGAATGTAAAACATTGACAATACTCACACTGAAATGTACTAGTCATGGATGTATGTATTGTCCGCATTTATTTGGAAAAATTAGCATAACGTCAAAACAGTAAATGTTGCAACGCGGATTTCTGACCGGTTCGTAGGATAGGTTTGTCTTCAAATTTCAAGGCGTTGCAGTGGATCAATTTTAAAGGAAAGTTTCAGACATTATAATATACATTTTGAAATTATGTGAAAAGATTTTTAAAAAATTCGTTCCAGTCGTTTCAGAGATGTACAAAAAAGCGCTAAAAGTCCAAATTTTGAATGAAGTTGCACTTCAACAGGTGGTAAAAAGACGCGTTAGGCTGCGTGCAAACGGACGCAAAAATTGTTGACCAACAACTCCCAACATTGTTGGATGTTACATGTTGCGTCCTTTTACACACCCTGTTGCATGTTGTTGCGCTAAGTTTGAAACCGGTCAAACTTTTCAGCCAACAACTCCCAACATTTCTTTTGTTCCGTGATCGCCGAAGCGTAGCGCAACAAAATGGATCCGGTTGCACAGCTCTTCCAACATTGTTGGGGCCACGAACACTCATTATTACACATGGTTTACAAAGACTTATGGGTTGTATCCTTCCCAGGATGCACTATAGGTCCAAACAATGTTGGGAGTTGTTGTATCCGTTTGCACACCACTGCCAACACGAACGCAACAGCTCCCAACATTGTTGGCGCAACAATGTTGGGAGTTGTTGCGTTCGTGTGTATGCAGCCTTAGTTGTTAAGATCACAAGAGCGAAAATACATCAAAATTTCCTAGCATCGAAATATGATATTAAGCAGCATTCTGACGCTACGTAAGAGCAATTTGAGTCATTTATAACGTTTTTGTTAAATAATCTATCACGGATATTGAAAATTTAAGGTTTAAAATATACTTTCCTTTTAGTCGAATTCAAACACACACAGAATTTTTTAGTTCTTAAGGAGGTTATTTGCTGAACACCAAAATTTTTAAAGTTCCTAGTGTTGGATTTTCAGTAGCTGGTCTAGATCGCGCAAAATTAGGCGTTTATCAATTTCAAAGTTTTTTGTTTAACGTTATCATTGATAGTAATATCGATTTTACTAAAACCTACATTTTGACAAATTTCAATCTATAGTCAATCATTAGTGAAAATGTTATAGCGATCAGACAAGGATAAAATCACTTTTCAAGCGATTGAAAAATATCGGTATGGCCTCTGAAAAACTATATCGAAACACCTTCAACCAAAACAAAACGTCGGCAACCATACCCTGTGACAACCGCCGCCTTTTCTCGTTTCTCGCCGCTATAGGCGCAAACCACATGCAAGCGCTGGAAAAGAAAAATTCTTAGCTCGGCAAGTAACACGGTAAAGACCCTTTACACGAGGTAATAGGAACCGTTATAAAAAGCTGGACTTGCATCAATAGTGCATGAAAACCAGACTAAACAGAGACCTGTTTGCGATCACTACTTACTTGAACAAACGACAGATGCATCTTCATGGTGACCGCAGTTATGTGAGCCCCAACCACCATGCGGGCAATTTACAATGGAAGTTTCACTTCCCAAACAGCTGACATCATCCAACCAAATTTGACCGCTTCCGGAGCCAAAGTGTGCAGAACTATGAGCACTAACAGCACTGGAGTATCCAAGTTCACGACATATGACTCTTGCATCGTCTAAATCCCAGCTGTCATCACACACAGTTCCCCAGTTGCCGTTGTAAAAAATTTCAACTCTTCCCTCTCCGTTCCAGCTTCCTCCAACAAGTCTCAGTCCTGAAACGTCAGCTAAAGTCGAAGATAGGCCTATTATTATCAAGGGCTACCTATTGAGGGGTGTGTGCCGCTGAACGAATAAGTTATGGTTTTCAGGATCTTAAGTCTTACAGTGCAACAATTTAAGTATTTATGATCTTTAAGAAAGGCGTGAGCGTTATGGACGGGCAGCCTAAATGTGTCGGTGGCGCCAACATTTTCTTAAAAATATCTTTTTTGTCATGTTAAAAAGGTAAAAATTCTGTGTGGGAAACGAGTAATGATAAGATTAATGAGAAATGACCTTTCGTTTTTAACAAGGTAAGAGAATGAATGGATCAAGGTTTGATTGATTCAGCCTTACACCCCTACGAAACATGGTATAATTTCCTTTCCCTGAATTTGCCACTACCTTTCTTAAGGTTTTCAGTACATGCTTGCCAACTAATGAGTCCTTAAAATACTCCGTTTTCGCGAGAACGATTTAAACGCATTTTAAAACAATCTGGACACGTATGTTAACGCATAGATGTTGTATTTGTGAGAACAGCCGTACATGTAAGTTAATTCTGTCTTCACTTATTTCGATACAGTTGTTCAGAGGCCATACCGACATTTTTCAATCGCCTTAAAAGTGTTTTTTCCTATGTCCGATCGCTATAAAATTTTCACCAGTAATTGGCTATGGATTAAAAATTTGTGTAAATGCAGTTTTAAGTAACATCGATATTACTTTCAATGACAACAATAAACAAAAATCTTTCAAATTGATAAAAGCCGAATTTTGTATGATCTTGACCAGCTACCGAATGACTCAAATTACTCTTTAGTAGCGTCAGAATGCTGCTTAATATCATATTTTGATGTTAGGAAATTTTAGTGAATTTTTGTTCTTGCGATCTTGAAAGCTAACTCGTTTTCTCACCACCTGTATAAGTGCAACTTCATTCAAAATTTGAACTTTTACGCGTTTTTGTATATCACTGAAACGACTCCAACAAATTTTTCTAAAATCTCTTCACATAATCTTCATAATGTATATAACAAGGTCACTCTGAAACTTTCATTGAGATTGATTCACTGCAACATCTTAAAATTTCAAGACAAACCTGCCCTACGTACCTGTCAAAAATCTGCGTTACATCATTCACTGTTTTGACGTTATGCTAATTTTTCCAAAAATAATGCGCACTATACATACCTCCATGACTAGTACATTTTAGTTTGAATTTATCGCATCTTTTGAATGTAAAACATTGACAATACTCACACTGAAATGTACTAGTCATGGATGTATGTATTGTCCGCATTTATTTGGAAAAATTAGCATAACGTCAAAACAGTAAATGTTGCAACGCGGATTTCTGACCGGTTCGTAGGATAGGTTTGTCTTCAAATTTCAAGGCGTTGCAGTGGATCAATTTTAAAGAAAGTTTCAGACATTATAATATACATTTTGAAATTATGTGAAAAGATTTTTAAAAAATTCGTTCCAGTCGTTTCAGAGATGTACAAAAAAGCGCTAAAAGTCCAAATTTTGAATGAAGTTGCACTTCAACAGGTGGTAAAAAGACGCGTTAGGCTGCGTGCAAACGGACGCAAAAATTGTTGACCAACAACTCCCAACATTGTTGGATGTTACATGTTGCGTCCTTTTACACACCCTGTTGCATGTTGTTGCGCTAAGTTTGAAACCGGTCAAACTTTTCAGCCAACAACTCCCAACATTTCTTTTGTTCCGTGATCGCCGAAGCGTAGCGCAGCAAAATGGATCCGGTTGCACAGCTCTTCCAACATTGTTGGGGCCACGAACACTCATTATTACACATGGTTTACAAAGACTTATGGGTTGTATCCTTCCCAGGATGCACTATAGGTCCCAACAATGTTGGGAGTTGTTGTATCCGTTTGCACACCACTGCCAACACGAACGCAACAGCTCCCAACATTGTTGGCGCAACAATGTTGGGAGTTGTTGCGTCCGTGTGCATGCAGCCTTAGTTGTTAAGATCACAAGAGCGAAAATACATCAAAATTTCCTAGCATCGAAATATGATATTAAGCAGCATTCTGACGCTACGTAAGAGCAATTTGAGTCATTTATAACGTTTTTGTTAAATAATCTATCACGGATATTGAAAATTTAAGGTTTAAAATATACTTTCCTTTTAGTCGAATTCAAACACACAGAATTTTTTAGTTCTTAAGGAGGTTATTTGCTGAACACCAAAATTTTTAAAGTTCCTAGTGTTGGATTTTCAGTAGCTGGTCTAGATCGCGCAAAATTAGGCGTTCATCAATTTCAAAGTTTTTTGTTTAACGTTATCATTGATAGTAATATCGATTTTACTAAAACCTACATTTTGACAAATTTCAATCTATAGTCAATCATTAGTGAAAATGTTATAGCGATCAGACAAGGATAAAATCACTTTTCAAGCGATTGAAAAATATCGGTATGGCCTCTGAAAAACTATATCGAAACACCTTCAACCAAAACAAAACGTCGGCAACCATACCCTGTGACAACCGCCGCCTTTTCTCGTTTCTCGCCGCTATAGGCGCAAACCACATGCAAGCGCTGGAAAAGAAAAATTCTTAGCTCGGCAAGTAACACGGTAAAGACCCTTTACACGAGGTAATAGGAACCGTTATAAAAAGCTGGACTTGCATCAATAGTGCATGAAAACCAGACTAAACAGAGACCTGTTTGCGATCACTACTTACTTGAACAAACGACAGATGCATCTTCATGGTGACCGCAGTTATGTGAGCCCCAACCACCATGCGGGCAATTTTCAATGGAAGTTTCACTTCCCAAACAGTTGACATCATCCAACCAAATTTGACCGCTTCCGGAGCCAAAGTGTGCAGAACTATGAGCACTAACAGCACCGGAGTATCCAAGTTCACGACATATGACTCTTGCATCGTCTAAATCCCAGCTGTCATCACACACAGTTCCCCAGTTGCCGTTGTAAAAAATTTCAACTCTTCCCTCTCCGTTCCAGCTTCCTCCAACAAGTCTCAGTCCTGAAAGGTCGATTGAGGAACTGCGTTAGAAAGAACTCTTGATTTAGCATACAAAATATGACTTGAGGTCTTCTGTCTAAAACAGCTTGTATAAAATGAGACAATCAGTAATCCCACAATTTGATTCAGAATGGCAATTTCGACCAAGCCCCCAAATTGATTTTAGAGCTCTACAAGCTCCTTTATAGTTATCGATCCTAAAGAAGTTGTTTTTTTATAAATCCTTGTATACTTATCACTTGCGTCTTAAAACCAAAGACATGTCATGCGTACATTTTACCGTACATTTCGTGTACATGAAAAGAGCATTTTCACGCTGACGTCATCGTAATAGGTTACCCATCTAGCCTGTGGAGCAAACGTTCAGTTCCGTGCCGTTTCAGAGCAAAGAACAAGAAACGAGAGTATAGTTGGAAAGTGAGTTTAAAGGTTTAAATCACCGTTTATCTCACCTTGCATACTACGCTTCACTCTGGAGTGAGAACCACATTCGTTGATGTCTGAAAAAAAAAGTTAAGTAAAGTGTTGAAAACTAAAACTTCTAAAAACGAAGCGCGCACTCTAGGAGGAAGCAGGTATTAAACACCTTACAGTCCGTATAGCAAGAAATCAGTTTTAAAGGTGAAATCTTGTCAAATTTTCATGTAACAGAGCGAAAAAAAAAGGAAGAAAGAAAGAAAAGAAAGACCTCTTATTCTTGCTTTGCTTTTACATTGTTGATGAAGAAGGGAAGACTTTTATTAATGTAAAAGAGTTTCGGCTTAAACTTGAGCCATCTTTTAGGCACAGGTAAAAGAACCTGCTAGTAGGTTTGATATGATCTACATTTTACGGTAAATAAATACCGCAAACACAAAGCACGAAGGCATAGATGGAGAAACTTGAGGGGGATTTAGTTAAAAAGATGTAATTTTGGTTTCAAAACCGACTTATTAGCCTTACAATTCCACTTTTTTGCTTTTACATACCTAGACAAGTAGTAAAGTCTGGTGGGGCAAGGGCATAGCCGACGGGACAAACACCAGTAGTGAACTGCCAGTCACTTGGGTCATTTATTCCTGGTGTGGGTGGTCCGTCATAAGAACAACCTTGTCCAACCACTGCACCACGATCCATCAAAATAGCGTACGAGCCGTTCATACTTAATGCAGCATCAGGCATTGCGAACCACAGGGTGGTAAGATCACTGTTGATTATGGCAAACTGAGAGAGTGTGTCCACTTTATGAACTGTGTGACCACTGGGAAGAAGAACGAGCCGGATGTAGGAAGAAGTGCGAGGCTTCTTTATCTGTGTGTGAAAAGAAACGTTAGATCATATTGCCTCAAATTTTGACAAAGATTGTCTTCAGTTTCTTCCTAGAAATTAAGAATTCAAAATAAGTATCTGAAGTCTACAGGGAGAACATGATGATGTCAAGAGGCAAGAAGAAATAAGAAACAAGTAAGACTTATAGAGTTAGGGAGACAGATCGGAATTACTTGCGAGATAAAAGCTCCCAGAGAGTATGTTTTTTATAAGTTACTCTATATTTAATGAAGGCCAATATGCATGATGACGATCGGATGATGAGCGAGTGACTCAGAATACAAAACATAAAAGTAAAAAAAGAGTCCGCGTCAGTAGGAGAGCCAGTAGAAAGAGAAGGTAACGGTCGGGATAAACTCGGGATTAAAGTAAAACGTGGAGGCAAAAAATACATTACAGCAACAATAACCGATGATGACAGCTATAAATAGAGGAATATACGTGAAATGATTTGCTAAGCTTAATCGTTTTATTCTTACCACTCGATCAAACTGTATGCTCCACCAGATATAGCCTGGTGCGCTGGTACTGATAGGAGTTTGAGGAGTTTGACTTCCCAAAATAACGCGGGGGGTACTGCCTGTGGGCCAAAATAGAATTTGCTTGTCATTTGCAAAAATGAGAGAGAAAAGTATTGACTTTATCTGTCTTATTCTCAAAAGGGAAGTGTGAAATTTGCGCCGTCCTCAAATAAGCGCCACAATGTAACGACAAGGTGGACATTTGATAAGCGTGGCGGAAGCGCGCGCCACGAACAAGTTATAAATTGTACACAAGACTTGCAAAAGACAAAGCAACGAACTGGGAGGTTTCATCTTTCCTGACCCTCTTTTTAGGTAAGCGTTTCCCAATATAGCTCCGAGGATTAACGAGTTTACTTACTTATACCGACGAGAATCGTTATGCACCTCCATTGACTCCCCATGCTAGACAAGAAAGAAAAGAAGATATAAGCAACCCAAAGGTCATAAATTAGACAAACTGGGTATATTGCAACGATTTAAATCGGAAAGTATTCAGCAATAACCTGCAGTGTTTGTTGACTTTGTCGCCCAAAAAAGCTGTCTTTGCAGGCATTTGCAATCGGCCATTTTGAAAATGAGGTTTTCAAAAACTTACTAATTCGAAAATGTATTTCGCTAATTATTAGCTCATCTATAATAGATGCATGGTAAATTTTTCAAATGGAACACAATCTTCATCCGATGGATCCCCATATCGAAAGTTTTTGGTGAATGGATAACGCCCTAAGAAACTAAAAACAAAAAATAGGTCATCTCACCCTGACGAGTCAACTGCTTTGAAGCAAAACGCCTGCTGTCCAACTTGATATTGGCTGGGATACCAAGTGACATTTCTGTAATAGACTCCTCCATTGTAACGTAAAGAAGTAAGTTTCATTCCAGGTGGAGACGAAGTCACTATCTCAACAATGCTGAAATAAAAGACACCGTTATGACGGCATCATAATGGGATTTTATGGCAAGGCATTGTTTAGATAATAGTTTGCAGGCTAAGGCCGCAGGCTCCAACCCTATCTTTTTTCCAGCCAATCAGAATTTAGGGCGTTCGGGACGGTATCGTTCTTAAGCGTGCTTTTCCTTGCGCTCGTCCCTTTCGATCGTTCACCATCACGCTGTTCACATCGATTGTTTGAACCAATTTTCAGCATTTTCCACCACCTTCCCTTCCGCCTGCCTGCAAATCAATACCTAGTTTGTTTCTCTTTATTGACTTAGTGGATGGCGGTTTTTTTCCCCCTCCTTTGCTGAAGAGATATTAGTTCATTATATATTGGCAGATCTTGAAAATAAAGTTCTTCACCAAATTTTCTCCAACCTAATTCGCAAACGAGTGCGCCGCCACGCGCAGGTCTTGGTCACGCAAAGTTTTCAGCGTCCTTCTTTTCGTAAAAATGCCTTGATATAAAATATGGTTGAATCATTTAAGAAACAAATAAAGTGATTTCATGTGCCCTTTTCCTTAGGTTCTAAAATAAATAAATAAATTGAAGTGACTTCAATTATTTATTTTAGTATTTTGTCATAATATCTGTAGTTCCCACACGGTTTGCGCACCAATACACTGATAGTTATGATTTTACAATTAGCTACATAATATACTCTCCGTTCAGTTTAGCCTCGCTCTAGTCCTTTCGTTTGACTTTCCGTGCGTTCCCGACTGCGCAAAAGTATGGACTGCTTGGCAGCATACCCCTAATTATAACAAAAAAAAACTCTCACTGTTTGGAGAAGTCTGCAAGTGTGACCTCGATCACAGCTCTGTACACTGAACCAATCTGCACCTCGGTGCATTCTCCATCGTTAGGTGTTGAAGGAGTAAATACAGGAACATTGTTACAAGAACCAATATGGCTGCTTATTATGACAAGAAACTGTAGTCCCACAGCACTGAATGGAGTAACGCCGACGAAATTTGTAGTTCCTGCTGGAAAGTCCTCTAAGGTCAGAGCTACAGCGTAAGTACCAGTCGTGCCACTGGTGCCATTATATGTCAGCAAACAGCTTTTCTGTTGAGAAAAATATTTCTCATCAGTTAAAATTAAGATTTTTAATTTCCATTGAAAGTTATTCCATTATTATTCATGCAAATTGGCTGAATTCCCCCGGCTAATTCCTTTTAACTCAAGCTATAGCGTTGACCAAATGTGGAAGACGTTTACAATATCTGTAAAATGACGTCAACGGTAGAGGCTATCGGTAGAAATAAGTGCGCCATTAACTACTGAAGTTTATGTTTGGCTTCATTTTTTTCCATAGCCTCCTGTGTCCCCTTGTATTTCTATTCCGGCGGTCATTTCCTTTACCAGAGGTAACGGGGCTTTTATGACTGTGATCCGTAACTTTAAGCATTATTGAATTAACGCATTAGAATTAACTTTACGCATTAGGGTAAATAATTCTCTGTTGCATAAAAAGAACGGAAAAACAAGCACATAAATCACCAGCACGGTTACCTCGTCGAGATTACCATATGGAAAACTGTCGCTGTACACGTAGGACTCTGAATAAGTCGCTAATCGGCACTTTACCACATCTCCGTCTGCATCTTCTACTGGAATTCGTAGAGACTGGGAACAGCCTTCATGCCATCGGACAATAGCAGGGCTTCTTGATACAGGAGAAGAGTTAATTCTGCCATTATCCGACCGTCTGGTGAGGTTAACGTTCGTCGATACAAGCCAACTACCACCTCCATATCGAGATAAAGATATCCAACAGCAACTAGTGTAGCTGTTAACGAAACAAAAGTGGAAAATTGTGGTATTAGGTTAAAGCTTTTAACATCACCTTTTGAATTTTTTTATTATTATTTTAGTTTTATTGGATTAATTGGTTTCTAAAAATGCAAAAACTTACCTTACAATCCATTTGTCGTGGATCGACGAGAAGGTGTGCGTAAAGTTGTTTTCACCCATTGACCAATCCTCACTGCTGCTGTAGTCTGTACAGCGAAAACCAGTGCTTCCTATGATAACTGAATTGCACTGTGAATTGTTGCCAGGATAGTTAGCACACTCTGCTGTCCATGAATCTCCTGAACCAAGAAGGCTACCACTGCTTATGATATACGGATCACAGTCATAAGAGGACGAATAAGATCTTCGAGAAGCCAGACGAAAGGTAAATCGCATCTAACGACAAACAGGGGTGAAAAATTTTCATAAGATTCCTAATGCTCTTGTTAGTAGTGAGCCGAATTTTAAGCACCGTAGACTTGAAAGCGAAAATGTGGTGAAGACGGGGGCGGGGGTGGGGTGGGGTGTAAAAAGAACCTCAGACCTGGGATGCTTACCATTTATACAAACCACCCTTACAGTGCATAAAAATAACATATAGATTTAGCCAGGGCTAAAAGCGAAGCCTCCGTTTCTATAACTATGATCAAAGCAATCAAATTAAAAAACAAACAAACAAACAAACGAAAAAAAGAAATAAGGAGCCTTCAGCATCAGTTCACCTTTAGAGGGAGGGGCTAAATGATTAAGAAAAAATATCCCGTAAACGAACCTGAATTGAAAAAAATGTGAAATTTAACCGTCTTCGCTAACCAATAACTATAATCCAGTCTTTAACCTTTTCTTTTTTTAAAGACAAACTCGGGCTCGAAAAGACGACGAGTCTGTCGCTAGAATAGAGAACTCTTTTACATTTTAGATAAGCTCACGTTTTCAGAGAGAATATAAAGCCGTAAACAAAGAACTGAAAACAATTTTTTTTTTTAACTGGTTTCAGCTGTTTTCAGGGCACGAGTTATGGAAAAACATCAGCACTTTGCAAAATTCTTGATTGGCAAGTAATGAATAAGAAAATGAATATTAATTCAATGAAACATGTACAAAAACAACACTTTTAGTTTTAATTCAAGAAAGGGGAGTAGTCTCAAGATCGTGTTTTGAGCTAACGTTATGAATGAGCAATGATTGATGAATAACTAAATTACTTGAAAATTTTTATTCAAAAACCCATTAGTTAATCCTAAAAAGCAATTCGCGTAACACTAACTGGATCGTGGATCCGTTCACGCAAGTGGAATCGGCTTAGCACAAGGTAAAGAATAAATTTCAAATGCACATTTTGTGGTTTTCTTTCACGCCGATGTAAAAATGTACAAAACATCCATGAAACCTTTATAACTACAAAAAATCCCTTTTAAGAACGTCCTTTCCTTGACCACAGAGTATACAGAATGTACCTCAAGTTTCTTCAGAAACCTCGCTCAGGGTAACCTGCAACCACCGGAAATACGTCTGCGGTTAGCAGGCTACGCTCAGGGACACCCATGCAGCGACTCCTTTTTTATTTTATTTTTTTTTTAATAACTGTTCGAAGGAGCAAATATTACCTAGGACTTTCTAAAGCTTAAGAAAAGCTAAAAATTTCTGGACAACCGCTCCCTTCGTCTAAAATATTCGGAGGTTTTCTAATAGTTTAACTACGATTTTCGGAGGTTGTGGCCCAAGCTCACTACAGGAACACGGACGTGACTCTTGCTTGCGAGCGGTGTTGTGTTACAAACGGTTATTTACAAAGGCTTAAAGTGTTTTTTTTTTAAAATAAAATCGACCTACCTTATTGCCTTGTTATATTTTTTGTTGTTTGCCAGCGTCTCAGGCCGTTTTGAGGCGTTTTCGGCGAGTTAGCGCTATGTTGGTGTTCCTCTGCTAAGAGAAAGACTATATAGGCCGAACAGTGATTTCCGGAGTGCCCGTCGCTCGAGGCGAATATATCCGCTGGAAAATTACCCCCGGCCTCAATTCCTCCAGAAATTCAAAGCAGAGATGTTGCAGTTCCATGTCCATTCACTTGATTCGCAAATCCTCCCACAGATCGTTCACTAGCGATGCAATTTATCTCTTGCTCGAACGGCTCCCGAATGTCGAACTAGGCTCCTCCAAACTGCAGTGGACTCGTTCACCGATCGCATAGTAAGTCGGGTAACTAAAACTAGTTGTAGCTTTCGCTACGTGCCAACGAAAGAAAAAGAATTTGCCTACATCACCGGTTTTAGTTCCAATGTTTATAAAAGCATTTCAGCTGCTGAGGCGAGAATTTCCACTACAAGCACTCCTCGTTCCTACATTTCTGCCATCCTCGTGGCCTTAAAATCGTTCTTATTTTTCTGCTTCGACATTTGTGAACCTTAAACTTGTCGAGTTTCAAACAGCGAAAGGGAAATAACATTTACAGGTCAGCGCGAACTTAAAATAGCGAGTTGTAGTTCGGACAAGTACAGTAGTGTGACAGAGAACAATTACAACAAGGGTCATCAAAAGTCACGTGAAACTACACGTGAAATCTAACGCTACTAAAATCCGCAGGTTTTCAAGCTGGTCGCCTCGCAAACCGACTGTCTTCGCTCGAACTAAGCCGGGCGAAGGTAGCCAGCGGTCTGCAGTCGACAAACAAACCCGTTAGCTTCCCGGGTCCCCTCGAGAGGTTTTGTCAAGACCGCATTTGCTTTATCAAGACGCTTCAAAACGGCCTGAGACGCGGGCAAACAACAAAGAATACAACAAGGCATTAAGGTAAGTCGATTTTATTTAAAAACATAACGTTTTTCTCTCTTTTAAGAAAAACCGTTTACTTTGTAAATTTTTTTTAACACAACATACACCCATTCGCAAGCAAGAGTCACGAAAGGAGAACTATCGTGTGTTACCCCCCGGGGGGGGGGGTACTCCCATACATTACCTACTGACAGGTATGTGCCGCCCAACGGCGTCGTGATTTTGAAGCTCCTGATTTAGAACGGGGTATCCATTTCAGAGGCGTTTTCTAGAACGGGGTATAAAAAATTGTGGATCGCGGCTTTATCTTCTGCTTAAAATTGTTGCTGATTATGAAGAAGCATTTATTTGATGTATAAGTCGAACAAATAAAGAAATATCTTTTTAAAAAAAAAACAGTGCTATTTCAATTGACAAACTCTCTAGAACGGAGTATAAACAATTGGCCAATTTCTAGAACGGGGTATCAGTTTTAGGGCGAATTCTAGAACGGGGTGTAAAAAATTGGCCCATTACTAGAACGGGGTATCAATTTTAGGGAAAATTTTTTTTACAACGGGGTGCCAATCCCGGGGTGTTACCTAGCCTAAGTATCAGGCGTTTCTGGGAGAAAAGGCCTGATACTCAGGCTATGTGTTACCTAGGCGGAATTTGGAGGCCATTGGAGCAGTTGGAGCGATTTTACGCCCGTTTTCCTTCGGTGGATCAGTCGAGCCGCTTCGCTTGAGTGCCCAACCTTGGTAAACCTTTACATAGAGAGAAAACCGTTTACATAAAAACCCATAAAACGGCCATAAATCGGCCCGTGGACAACACAGGACAGATGTAACACAAATTTTCAGTAAGGTAAGTTGTTTTTTTATTGAAATCCTTTCATTTTCGTGGGTTACAGAAACGATAGGTTTTTTCCCCATACTTGAATGTTACGCAACAATGCCGATGCTCGCCCGATGCTCATATTTCGAGCTTGGGCTACCTGTGGTTGAATTCCTCGAAACACAATTTCATAGCGAAAAGCTCTCGTTTTTCCGCAAAATGGAAACTGAGCATTCTTTTGAACTTTCTCTTAACATTTGTGTCTTTTATCGGCGTATTTCAAATCTTGAAATACAAAACTTTAGTCTTGAAAACCACATGATCAACGCGCGCCAGCCATTTTGTTGATGGATGGCATTTACTAAATAAAGGTGTCAAACCTGCCTCTTCCCCCACCCCCTATGTGGTTGATTATGTGACTCGCGAGGGTGGTATGGGGGGTATGGGTGATTTAGTTTGAGCAAGAATTTTTTTGAAAATAATAACAATAATATTTATAAAAATAATAACGATAATAACAATTCTATCATACTTGGGGGAACAGCAGCCCACTGCAGATCGTATCGTAGATCGCACGTATGTAATAAATTAGAAGGCGAGGAGATGATAAATGAGCACAGTCGCGACTTTCTCAGTTATAAGGTCTTCAACTGGTTCCCTCAGTCTATCTTCTAATTAGTTGTCAAATAAGAAGGAGGCGATCCGGAGACCGTTTCAACATAAATTTACTTTCAAATGAGACTCTACTGACTCTGAAATTTAAGTTATGGCAGCAGAATAGATTGCAGAGCGAGCCTGGTATTTCAATCGGTCTTCGAATAAAGGAATTCAAAGTAAAGTAGACTGCAAAATAGTCCGTACTTTTTGCGTATTCAAGTAGGCACGAACAGTCAAACAAAAGCTGAGAACGGAGAGCGAGACTGAGGCTCGCGCGTGAGGCTCTCACGCTGCTCTTATTCTACCCTAAACCGATTTTAAGAGAAAAACCCGACTGCTTTGCAGTCTAAAAGTAAAGTAAAGTAAAGAATCATTCACAGACAGATGGATTTTTTTTTCGAAGATCGATCAATGCTGAATAAACATTAGCCACTTAATATTTCAAAGTGAGGCCCATTCCATAGAGTTAGTCTCCAGCAATGAGAAGAACAAAATAAAACAAAAACAAACATGAAAAACGTATCTACATTGAAAAACCAAGATGGTGTTCAGCGCCAAAATTAATTTATGTGTCAATTTTGAATAAGCCTGTAGTGCAGGCGTTTTCTTCGCAGGCGCGCGGATGTTGTTGCTCGCGAAAGCACCATTTTGAAACTCCAAAAGAGAGGAGGAAATGGGGCGAGTCAGCACCAATCCTAAGGGTTGCTATTTCTACTCTGCCCAATCTTCCAATGTCAAAAACTCAGACATGGCGGCTACAACAACAGGAACACGAACAAGCAGTTTTCGCCGCCCAAAATAACGCCTGCACTGCAGGCTAATTTTGAATGCCTATCACCGCTTTAGGCAAGTGCCTGTATTACACCGTAGAAGTAATTTCACACCCTGTTAAGCATTTGGTTTCTGCAAGAGTTCATTCTAGCGCAAATTTTTGCTAATCTTGGGCTTAATGGCTTAAAGGCAGCTGCGCTCTTTACATTCAGAATTAAAAAAGCTCATTTTGAATTTAATTTGTTCACTTTTTTTATTGATAGTTATTCATATGCAAAAAGCGCAAAAAAAAAACCAGAGGTGATTAAGTTTTAAATAAAGAAATTTTTTTATTAGAATTTTTCATATCTGACCTACGCAACTTTTGCGTTTCTTTTAAAAAAAACACATCGAAGCGCGAAACATTGAATAAATTCCAAAGAAGGAAATAGCTCAAGTGCACCTAAAGTTAAATCAGTTTTGTCAGAATAAAATTATGAAAAGCCTTTCTTTATCTTCCGCTTGAAGCCGTCCTTGTTGTTCTTAATATTTACATTCCGTAGTATATGCGAACTGTATGTTGGAAAATTTACGTTTGTTCAGTACACTTTGCCCCCACGTAGCGCAGAAATGGAAAAGACAAACGTCTTAATGAGTTCCGCGACTTTACAGATTAATAACTGTTAATTTTTCATCATTTAATCTTTAAACGTGGCAACTTTATTGACTTCAAGGCGCCCATTTGGCGTTGTTTTTGAATTCTTGCTATTTGTCGGAAAAAAAGTTAACCTTTCGCTATATCCTGTCCAAATAGAGCATCGATGCATTCGCAAAAAGCCTTTTCAAGAGGCGGGTAGATATATGCTCCTAATGCCTTCTAAGTGGCAAAAACAATTTACTTTGTTTCTCGCACGCGGTGGAATGTCTATGCTTATGTGGCATGTAAACTTGAGCACATGTTTAAAAAATCAAAACTGTCTGGAAACATCACAGGCATCTTCTGCTATAAATCCTGTTTACCGTTACACATGACATTTAATTAACTTGATAGAAAACCAAAAAAAATACTGCACCGAGTCCATTGCTAGGCGTTTGCTCTTGATTTTGCTCGCGGATTTGATGATAAAGTACTCGCGTTTTGATTTGAAAAGTGCACATTTTATGCAAGATTATTTGCAAATTAATGCAATAATGAGCGAGTTTCAATAAAAAAAGAAGACTTCACAAGCTACGGTATCGTTTTTCAGTATATAGCCAAGCCTTTCGTCTAGACATTTTTCTTAGGCATGTAAAAGGGCCGCCGAGCACTAGTCACTGGCTTAGCTCGCGAGAACAATAGATTGGAACTTTTTTCAGAAAAAATTGTCCTGTATTTATCAACTACTATTTCCCACCAGTATCAGAGTCTATTTGATAGTTTTAATAGCCAACCAACTTGGTCGACTGATATAGACTTTTACAGAGTTGAAGTCGAAATTCAACCGTCTAAAGAAAGCGTTCTTGGATTCTTTCTTTAAATGGTTCACTCAAGCTTAAGTAATAAGATGATTGGACATTTCATAGTCACAGAGGTAGGAAGGGGAATGATCCTCTGTCAGTTCTTCGAATAGACTGTAAGTGAACATGCAGCTAAAATAGATAGATTTTTGTTTCTCTTATAGGTTACAGAGCATCGCTGTTTTCTTCTTTGAGGGTTAATCCATTTTTTTTCTAGCAAATATATAGGCCTTTAACAAGCTCTTTAGTAACCTTCAAGAATAAATGATTGAATTCCCCATCCCCTCCCTTCAAAAAAGAGTTTGTTCAGGGAATTAAGTTGAAATGGTAAGGAGTTATTTAGTTGTGACTTGAAACTAGTAGTTCCACATACAAATCGAAGGTGGTTTTGCTAGGCTGTACTTTCCAAAAACAGAGGTAGAAAGAGTAAATTGTTTTATATTTCCTGACATTGCTAATCAAGGTTGCGAACGTAATTCTTAAACCGCGCACATTGCCTTTTGTTTAAACTGTACAGTAAATTTTTCCTTTAAAAAGAGTAAGTCAACGTCAAGAAAGACGTCGGTGGAGTTACATTGAGTTGCTTTTTGATGACTCAGTTTTTGCCCCAAGGCACACTTAAGAAACTCATGTGGGTTAACGATAAAACATTGACGTGGGGCGTAAGGCAGTGTACATCCTACCGTGTCACTGGAGGAGTCGACAGGAGCCCAGGCGATGTTTCCATGCCAGAAGGGGAACGCTCTAGCCAAACACAGCCATTGGACAACAGTAAGGAGAAGAACATTCGATACATGCCGGCATTTCATCATAGATTTCATTTTTTAAGCACAGAGTCTGGCGCTTGAGTTGTCGGCCTCCGCAACGAGGAAAAAGGTCGCAACGCAAAATTCTGAAAAGTGTCGAAAGGAGTGCCCTTTAACCACTAAGGCTGCCAATTACATTTCTAGAGTTCATTCAAACCAATGAGGAGTAGAGTTTTGTTAAAATCAAACCAATCACAAAAAAGATTATCGTGTGTGTCATTTTGGTGTAGTAGATTGTTCGTAGAATGTGACGTTTTTCAGGCAAAGACATTCAGCCATGTATGACCATGCTAATTTGAGTCAATTATTGAGCTTCTGTACAGCTCTGGAAAGATTTCGCTATTTTAGAAATCATGGGATAATTCACGAATACGCAAAAAATCTATGGGATAAACTTGTTACAAATTCTGTAAGTATTTAATCGTTATAAATTTAAAATAGTCTCCGTTTGTGATTAGCCTGCAATGACTCCCTCCAAATTTCTCATAAAAACTGTGCCAGTTGAAAGATCTACTTCATTCGCCCTCGTTTCTAAATAAAAAATAGAGTCAGAATAAATTTTATTCATGCAACAAAAAGGGCGCTGCTCTGTTTGAACATACATGAACATCCTTGGTGTCGATTTTTTTGAAGGTAAGAAAAGAAACGCTTTCCAAACTAAAATGTGGTGTTCCAGTTTGGTAAATTTTTTTTTTTTAATGAGAATCACCTCAAAAAAGGCTGCCTTTTCCGTTTAAAATAGAAACTTGTCCCGAAGAACAGTTTTTTTTTACGTTGCAGGTTTTGAAGTTCCCTTGGAAATGAGTGTAAAATTGGCTTTCACGGAATTTCATGTTTGCCACTTAATTCCAAAGACGATTTTTGCAATTTACTCTTATCCTTAAAGTGGTGTTTAAAACTCACAGGGAACGTCTCCCTGTTTGCAAGGAATCATAAAATTCTTCCAAGCAATCCGTCCTATTCTTTATTACAAATTTAAGCAACTAAAGGATTTTCGTAATTTCTTGTCCCGAGAGGTTGCCCATAGAAAAAGGACGAGGATTCTATACTTTTTGATCCCCAGAGAACACAGACGAAAATTCATTACTAAATCTCATCCCCTACAAAAACACAGGAGAACATTCAAAATTTCTGATCTCCCAAACAATACAGGAGTGGAATCAGAATTTCTGATTCCCCAAGAAGAAATCCCCTACAAAAACACAGGAGAGGATTCACAATTTCTGATCCTCCAAATAACACAGGAGAGAATTCAGAATTTCTGACCCCAAAACAACACGGGAAATTCAGATTTTCTGATCCCCCAAACAACACAGGAGAGGATTCAGAATTTCTGATCCCCCAAACAACACAGGAGAGGATTCAGAATTTCTGATCCCCCAAACAACAAAGGAGAGGATTCAGAATTTCTGATCCCCCAAACAACAAAGGAGAGGATTCAGAATTTCTGATCCCCCAAACAACACAGGAGAGGATTCAGAATTTCTGATCCCCCAAACAACAAAGGAGAGGATTCAGAATTTCTGATCCCCCAAACACAGGAGAGGATTCAGAATTTCTGATCCCCCAAACAACACAGGAGAGGATTCAGAATTTCTGATCCCCAAAACAACACAGGAGAGGATTCAGAATTTCTGATTCCCAATGCAAAACAACACAGGAGAGAATTCAGAATTTCTGATCCCCCAAACAACACAGGAGAGGATTCAGAATTTCTGACCCCCCAAAACATAGGAGATTCAGAATTTCTGATCCCACAAACAATACAGGAAGGTATTCAATATTTCTGAACACCTAATTATAAGAATACACTCGTGGTATCAGAATTTCTGATAACCCAAACAACCTGAGAGAAACTTCATATTTTTCTAGCTTCGAGAAGTCAACGCATGATTCTGGAGCACTACAAGGACTGATTGTTCCGCGATATAAACTTTATTCAATCGCTAGTGTTACATCCAAACCAATACCGCCATATTAAATTTTATCATTGAAGGTTTTAGTTCTTGCTGCCCGCCTAAGCGATGTCTGATCAAAATATTTTTTGCTTGATAACACTATTTAATTTGAAATCATTTACAATACCATAATTTCTTTTATCAGATTCCATACACTCAGATTATCTTGAAAGAGTGATGAAGAGCAAGCTTCTTCTTCACAGCAGCCTATTATATGTAAGTAAACAATACACAATCATGCTGATCATCTACTGCACTGATGTATGTGCTACAGGTCAAATTTGATGTCAGGTTAAGTTTGATTTAATCTAGGTTGATTCTCAATTTCCTTAGTTTCCTAACCCTAATTCATGAATAAGTAGGGCTAAATAAGTTTACAAGCTTAGTTCTGAAATGAGAACTGTTTACATAAAACTTCAATAATAAGACAATAAAATAGCGCTCAAACCACTGTTTTAGTTAAATTTAGAAATAAAATGAAAACGAAAGGAAATAGGTAAATCTTAAAAGAACTGTTTTAAAGACTCTAAAACGCTTAAATTGAAAGCAAAGGGTTTTTAAAAAGCAGCGAAGTCAAAGAAGACGTCGAAGAAGGCTGCCCGGTCGCTCTGTTGTGTGTAAATAGTTGGGCGCTCACGTGATGTTTTGGCGCGCTTTGTCACGATCAAATGGAACCAGGGACCTCCTACCGTGCTACTCGCGATGACACTCGCGATGCACTGTGCCTGCTCCCGGACGCAGGCAAATTGTCGCTGTCACGTAAGCTTCTAGCGACCGTTGATAACGTCACGTCCAAGTGCCCGGTCATACGCATCCCGAGAAAGAAAACTCTGGTAGCCATGAAAAGTTTAAAATCAAGCGCTTCGCTAGCGGTTGTGATGAAATCTGAGACTCCAGCAGCATAGAAGGGAAAGACAAATTATCGACAGATCCTCTGAGGGCAATTTTGGCGAGTTTGGACCATTATTATGGGATTTATGGAGCTTCGAGCTGGGACGGTCGGCCTTAGAGTCCCTAGCCTTCCCATTTTTGTGGCTTACTGCCTCTTAGGCCTGTTTCAAACGTCGTGCTACTACCGTGCTAAGCTGGCTTGACTGTAGCTCGACTGCGAGCACGACACTAGCACGACTTGGTTTCAGACGTCGAATTTAATTCAGTCGAATAGGACGGCTGTTGCCGAAAACAAAGCACAAAAATAAAGAAACGGTTTAGCAAACTTTTAGATGTATTCTAATGTATTTATAATCTATGAATTGAGTTCGGCAAGGCAGTACGTAGCACGACGTTTGAAACCAAGTCGAGCTACTGCCGCGTAGCACGGCAAGGCTTGCTGGGTGGCGTTTTGTGTGTAGGAGTTATCGAACACCTACTTTTTTCTCGGCTTTTCTTGCAATAAGGTCTGATAACAACCAGTCATCATTCCTTAGCTATGGTGAACCAAGTAAGATCTATACAGTCGAAGTACACCGTGCCTTGGGGTGTAACCTCCGGATATAAATGGTGGTAACGTAGTCATCGGTGTAGTTACATGCGTGTATAAGTCTGTCAGTGCATGCAATCATTTACAGTCGGCGTATGGCGCGTGTAGTCAATTGTGGAGTCAGCGTTTACTTTGTTAGATAGAGCACTCCACATTTTAAACGTAATTCAACAACATTTTGGTACAAAGCGCAGTTCATTTGCGAAGGTATTTCCTCCGCCAAGTCATAAAACTTGAAAGAATTTTAATTGTGTGGTTAGGGGCACAAATTGCCCCAGCCATACAAGCGTCTATAACATTTCTCGATTTTGCATAACTATATCTTCGTTTCACGAGAATTTTTGCAGGGTTTATCTGTCTACGCATTACACCGGCTTAAGTACACAGGAAAAATAAAAGATCGATACCCAAAGTAATTGAATATCGTTTCTAGACCTCTTCACAAACGTACCTGGAATTATAACTGTATCTGTAGGAGGCCAACAACTCGCAGTGAAAGTAAACCACATCATAATCGTTGAACCTGAAGGATCTCATTTTAATTTGTTGAGAGCTCGCTGTTGGATAGTACGTGTACTCCATAGTTGTTTCTTGTGGGCACCTACAATTGGTTGTCATGGCGACACAAACATCATTAACAATTATTGGACGAGATTGAGCACCGTGATTTGTCAGTGACGAGTGGATTATTACTGATTATTAAATAACATTGATCAGCGAGACTCTGACAAATCACGTTATTTTGCGATGTACAGAGTTCAATAATTGTCTTATCATTCGATCACCGAGTTTGTTCTTTTATTATTTGCGAATCGAAGCGACCTGCCATTTTCACGCAAAAGCGATTCGCAGGATGGAGAAAAGCGGGCTCGACCAATGAAAAGGAAGAAAAAGTTGCATCGAATGATAACACAGCATCGGATGCAAAAACAAAAATAGGTGCACAAACGTAAATGTACATAAATAACTGATAAGAAGATTGATTTTAAAGATTCTAATCTTAGCACTTGTTTTATACCTTCCCATTCTGTATAACAGTGAACTGCGGCATGCAGTTTTCGGCCATTATCACTAGGTCAACACTAGACTCCACACTGTACTTCACATGAAAGAACTCGTTTGAAGGAATAGATATTGGGTAGTCGTTTTCAGTGTCAGGCGTGGCAAATGCCGCAGTCCTGTAAAAGTCCATTCTGAAAGTGAAATTCCCATATCCAGCTAAAGTGAAAAAAATAAGACAAAAATGTGGTTTTTATGGGCATGTGGCCGGCCTCCTCCTAAGGTTTTCTCATAATCACTTTAGATGGGATATGACAACGCGATTTTACCGCTTAATGCTACTCTTTTCTTGAAAGCAACTTAGGCGATTGCAGAGTTAACTATCGAAAAGGTCTTGGTGTGAAGTATAAGACGCGTATCCATGTATTTCTGGCGTGGAGATCAGAGACCTTTGGAAAGGCTAAGATTTTGAAGGTAAGGCAAGGCTTAGTTTTTGCCACTAGTGTGGCAATAACACCCTAATTCCCAATGGCCGGTGACTCGGATCTCGGGCAAAAATTTTGTACATTAAAATTCGCGACGTGCCGCTCTAAAGCTTGAAAATAGTCTAGCGAGGAAAGCGTACGTATATCGGACAGTTGAGGAAGGACTAAACTTAGTTCGCATGCGGGTTCCTTTAAGCCTTCTAGTAACTCTTTTAGCTGAAAGAAACAAGCTGTAGGTTAGACAATTCACTTGGCCCGCGACATACACTTTCTTTATGTGACATCAGAATTTCAAAGCCTACTTTACTGAATCGAAAGGAGACAAGTATGGTTCCTGCACGCAGGGTTGGAAGATAGATCGAGAACATGAGAACTTTTTCAAGTTTGGAATAGCAAAATGGCAAAAGACATTGTAACATTGTACCAGCAAAGGCTCAAGAAAGGGGGGGGGGGGCAAACCATCTTTTTTTGGTTTGGTTTTGTTGTTTGTATTGTGGTTTGTTTTGGTATTAAAAGTTTGGAAAAAAATTAGTACGTCTAGTATGAGCTTTATAACATAATAATTATAGCTGCAAGTTCTCGGTTTGCATCTATTACGTCGTTCGTCTGTGAATATAACAATTTGCAAATCAATTATTATGCTTCAAAATATACCAAGATCCTCTTATTAAGCTTGAGCAGGGCTTTTGAAAAGGTGACGCTTATTTTCTCCAATTTTTCCATGGGGTTTACTTTTTCCAGCCTACAAAGAAACATATTGCTGCATTTTGCGCATGTCATTATTATTGTGGCAGGCCGTCTGAGATAATACTTTTTCTGGTATGTATGTACGCATGTAAGTCAGGATTTTACCGTTTTGCAATTCTATCATCGGGAGAAATGGTCGGACATTAACGCATATCAATGAGCCATTGAGGTGGGCTAATCAGGCATGAATGTGCCAAGAAAGCGGCACAATAATAGAGAAAACGGATGATTTTGGCGCAGCAGCGTGACTAAAATCGTCATTTCGGTACTTAAAAAGATGAATTCTTTAACATTATAGAGCGGATTCTTTAAGTTAAAGGATTAATCTATCATTCCAGCTAAATTTCAAGTAAAATAAATGAGAATTGGGTGCAGACTTTTAACATTGAGTCGAATTCTTCTTATAATTATTCTGGTGTGTCATATACTCTAAACAATTTTACCTTGCCGTACTGAGTGATATTGTTATCTCAGTGTGGGGAATAAAATTTAACATCACGCTAACCTTTCTCCTAATATCTTGACAAAAATTTCAAAAGTTGAAAATACTCCTTGTCAAAAAAATTATTATTAATAAATAAATAAAGCAATTTGATAATAAAACGATGCTCAGATAAATGCCGGTCTTTTATTCATAAACGCAAATGTTCCGCGCCTTTAATTCGCGTTCGAGGTACAAAGGCCTTCAATGTGCCTTGTCTTAACACATGCATACCACAACCAAGAATAAATACATGGTTGTCTAGTACTACAAAATAAATAAAGTGCGGTGAAAGTTTAAGTTAAAAGCGATCTTTCTTTACAGAAATGTCAAAGGTCAACAAAACTAGGTAAACCAAGCCTATACTGAATAAAACGAAAGTCGTCACTTGTAACAGCATGACTTTGCGGCTAGGCAGGGTGTACTTATAATTGTTATTCGACGGCCAACGATCCTAGATATTCTGATTTTTAACATGTCGTTTACTTCAAAGAGACATCAACAAGTGTATCTGCATTGCGGAAGAGTCTGGAACTTCCGCATTGGACTGTGCAGCCACAGAAGACGCTGTCGAGTCCACCTTAACAAGAGTGCAAATCGGTACATTTTCCCGAGACTGGCGGATGCCTACTACTACGGCTAGTTAGTTGACTAAACATGTTATACTGGACTTTGGAAAACAGCCACAAACAGTCAGCTGTAGATTTGATTACCTTAAAAAACACGGAACACCACGACGAAGCTCACTCTTAGAATGAGTAGTTATTTAATTAGCTTAGATAAATGACTGAACGAAGAGCCCTATCTGTGAAAACAGCAACAGGTGTGTTTACAAAGTTCAATATAATGAACGATAGATTTATGAAAGCTTCGTGGCTCCAGAAAAACACTAACAACACAGGGTGGGTAGCCAACGAATTCGCCTTTTTCGCGCGCCGACATCTTGACACCAGAACGATTCCAAGCAAGTTGTCAGCCAATCATCGAAATAGTTTTGCAAAATGGTAAACAAAGATTATTGTAGCTTGATAAATTGTCACCATTCAGCTCCGAACAAAAGAGCCTCATCGATGATTCCACACAAATCCGAAACGGAACTATCTTAGGACCATCTGGAAACGATTTATCAGGCAACTGGAAAAGCGATAAATCTCACGGTAGGTGAAGTAAAATACATGGGCACAATTTGAGTAAGCGTTTCCTTAGTTTATTGACAAATTATCTTTAGTAAATGTTTCTGTAAACAATTGATCATATTTTGGGACTTGGATTAAACTTTATGCCAAAAACCTGGAGATGAATCGAGGCCATTGTTTTCTAACATAGACAAATTCGCGGTCTTTTCGCGCGTAGATTTGGACACCTCAAGCCTCGCTGCGGTGCCGGCGGTTTCATAAGTCACAATCCCAAGATGGCCGAAACGCGATAAAGGCGAATGGCTCGAAATTCGGTAACCGACTGGGGAAAATATCTATCCGATCACTGACGAATATCTCGCATGGATCCTTCCTTCTCAATCGTGTCATCATCTTGAATGTAAGCGTTCCTTCTACTCAGTTGTTCGTCTTGTGTCGTGTACAGATCCCCGACCTTATTTCGGTTCATGAGCAGTCTTGCAATGCGGTACTTAACAAACAAAAACACCAGGGCAATGAGAGCAAGCAGACCAACCCCACCAGCGGCTGCCGCACCTCCAATCATAGCAGCTTGTTGTTTATTTTCATCGGTATCTGAAACGGAAAAATCGTGCATATGTTTTGAAAACGTGGAATCCATTAACATTAGTTAGAATTATTGAAATTTTTAGTCTGAAAAAAGTCTTATAAAAACAGCACACCTATATTACAAATATTGTTTGAATATCGAGCGGATCCACGTCGATAGCATAGTTGATATTTTTGTGCCTTATTTTAAAAATGAGTTGTTTAGTGTTTAATAAAGTGTTCTCAAAGGGTTTCTTGGCGACCATATATTGGTGATCCAAAACAATAAATAAATATAAAATCATGAAACGACGGTAATGTTGGTGTTCTGTGGGAGTTGGACTCTTTGAAAGCTTCCTTTTGTCTAAATAAATTCGCATTGTTGCTGGCCACGTAAGTGAAAACACTCTGTACTTATAAGAACCTCTTAGTTACATTCGGTTTGTATAGGTAATAGCATGATTTGTAGTGATGTTGGGCATAAATACCACAAGTGAAATTTCGAAATTGTTATACGTAATTTCACGAGCAGTTAGGCGAGTAAAATTGGAGACTATTTTGAAATATCACGAGTGGCGTTTATGCCAAATATCACTACAAATCATGGTATTATTAGTTTATACCACTACCCGCAAAAGGTTTGTAACTTTCACATGTAGGTATTTCAAATTAAGCTGAAATACCACTGCTCTAAGCCAATCAAATAGCAGAAATTTCTCATGTAGTGGTATAATAAATAAAATACCTCCAGCCTCCTCAGGTATCTTATCCTTGAACCGCACTGGACCTCGTTTGATTTCGTAAGTCTTGGTCGCACCTTCAGGCTGGTCGCTATCTTCATCTGCATTTCTTCGTTTTCTGCTCGCACAACTCTGGGAACACCTTATAAAGGTACAGATAAGACTATTTTCTGCTATATTCCTTTTAAAATTGTGTCCTAATACTGATGACTAACAAATTTTTATGAAGATTTGGTTGAGGCACTTGAAAGATTGAGATTTATAAGAATTGGGAATCTACCTTTACCACAGAGTCCTAGCCTGTGTACAGACCCACCCATCCCCTCGGTAAAAATTCCCTTCTCCGATCTTTATTGAGGGGAGGCGGTGGGACTGTTCCCAGGCTACTGAGTCCAGCAAAGCGCTAAATAATATTTGCTACTAATACTTTGAAAATGTCGACATCGTACAAACGGAAAAGATTTGGTTTTCTTACCTGGAGTTTGGTAAATTTCTGTGACAAGCTAGCAGCTCACAATGGAAGTAAACAGCATCGTAGTCGTTGAAAAATCTGAACGTCTTGATCTTAAACTGCTGAAAACTTCTCGACGAACTGTACGGATAAGCCATAGTGGTGTCTCGAACACAGCTATTAATTGTGATTAGATGAAAAAATACATTCCCCTTAAGTTAAATGCATATACACAATAAGTAGTCGTACTGTATGATACAAGATATGAATGGATTGTTGTTTCCAGAAATAGTAATCATAATATTGAGAGAGGTTAATTAGTGTTCGCCTCACGGTACTGAATTAGATTAAATCATAGTTTCGATTAATTAACCACCATTTATAGACCGTTTGAAGTTTAAAATTGTAGTTAAGATTGCGCTGCCGATTTTTCATCATTCCTTTTACATGTTTCCCATAAATGTTTGACATCTTGATGAGTTCCTTTCTATACAACGCCGAACCAATCGCAATGCTTGGAGGTGTCTCAAAGGTGGATCTTGGTTTGACCATGTTTCCTTTCTTCTTGTTTAAATTCTTAAAAAGACTTCGCCCCTAAAAAATAATGGACTTCGACTACTTCACGCTGTACTAAACCCATCTCTGTACTACATGAAAACCACACAGGTTTTTTCGGTAAAACATCCCTAAAAACTCTCAGAAACTCTTTCAGCTAGTTAAAAAACTGGGTTCTTGATTTTCAATAACAGCTAAAATTACTTTTCTCGCATACTATACCCGTTCAATATAATGTCGTATTTTGGCGTGGAATAGAAATTTCCATCTTTAGTAGCTCTGCAGTTTAACGCCATCACAACCAGATCAGCACTAGACTCCACACTAAACTGAACGTACATGTCTTCGTTAAGCTCTAATGTTACGGGATACTCGTATCCGTAGTAAGGAGTGAGATAGGCTGAAGTCCTGTAGATGTCCATCTTGAAAGTGAAATTACCGAAGCCAACTAAAAAAAGGAACAATCGTTCATGGGTTAGTAAGGTTGGATGAAGACATGTTCTCTGATTGATTATTCCATGCAATCATAGAGCATGTTTCCCAGGCTTAGACTTTGTTAAGATACAAGACTGTCATGGACATTCCATATTTGGCACCCTCGCCTGATTTTGCTCTGTGCTTTAAAAACTCTGAGGCCCCTCTAAGGCTTTTTCTTATATTAAATTATGTTTCCAATTAATACATCAGTTCTTAACTTGATGTGGCTAACTCTAAACTGGCAAGATCGGTGGAGATTTGGATGATGGATAGTGCATGCGAAGGGAATTTTAATGTAAGACAATAAAGATAGATAACAATGAGTAACTAACATATAGGTTATAGGGTTGTTATATTCTAAAATTAGAATAAAGAGAAGTAGAGAATGATGCAAAGCGCTTCTAATATAAAAATCATAAAGCACAGCTCGCCGGAACTGATTCAACAGACGACTCACAGTGAGCAGTTTTCATAAAAGGTGTGTGCAATCAATAGTAATCCTGCCAATTTGATTATTCAGATACATATATATTTATAAGTGATTCACACGACAAATTTAAGAGCTGGACTGAAAAATCCAACATTAAATAATCAACAATATTTGATTTGATAATTTTACAGTTAATCTTGTTAATCAATTAATGCAAGCCAAACAAAACACTTATAATATAATTTTTAAAAAATCCTGCGTCTGTCTATGATGATTGATTATTTTTAATTAACATTTATTTATTAATAATTTTGCGATTGATTTTGACTGATGACGTGGGTTGGTGGTTGATAAATAACGACATAAATGTGCTCATTTAAGCATGGTTCCTATACCTTCATCTTCGACAAAAATTTCACCAGTTATGAAGCTTAGTCCAAGCAGCTTCTTTCTTGAATAGCTACAGTTAAACTGGAGATCAAAGTCATGATCTCTGGTGATGTAGTTTTGTACTTGAATATCTCCTTCGATTTCGTTGGTGAAAATTATCACGTCGTCGTCCACTTCGGTAACTGTTGTTCCACAGTCATCCAAAGAAGTGCTCAATACCAGATGGGTTGGTGTTTCACTGGCACGGCACCGGCTCCGCCAAGACCACCGTAAGTGAAGCATACTCGCATTCAAATACGGGAATTTTTGCTTTTCGAGGTATACTGTCATGTTGTTTTCACCACAAGTTACTGTCACGTTATTGTCTGAATGAAAGTGAAATTAAAAGTGAGTAATAAAAGTACTATGAAACAACAAACTTGCCGAAGTCTGATTTTTGCAAAACACGGGCATAGAATCGCTTATTACCTTCAATTCCAGCAACATATGAAGCAAAGAGAAGCAGGGAAAGGAGAAGAAAATTGTAGCACGCCATGTTGTCGAAGCTGAATGTTTCAGTCTTTAGCTCTCGTCCACATGCAGCGATCAAACTGTGAGCCGCCTAAGGGTGTGGTTTTGTCATTCTGACTTAAATGTCACTCAAAATAGTCGAATGTATTTGACGGATGCGTAAGCAAAAAGTATTTGTAAACAACACGTTTGCCCTTTTCTCGACGATCTATCTCCAACTAACACAAGCCAACTAGATTAAAAGACACCTGATGTGTTTTCCATGTTACACTCATAATCAGATCTACTCTCACTAGCTGAAAATCATGCATGGGATCATTTAGAACGCGGGTATCTACCTTTTGATGTTTTTGTTTCATTTTAATAGCGTCGTTTTCCACACCCCTTCTACGACCGCAGTTACATTCTTTAAAGTCAGTCGACTAACTAATAAAACAAAATACGGAATTTTAACCCCTGTTTTCAAGAAATAAACTGAGCCTTTTTCTATCATTTCTGTGTCGCACTGTAACCAAGTTCATCTTGTTTTTCATCTTGCAGCTTCCAGAGGCAATACTCAAATCACTTTGACATCACGTTTTTCTCTTGTTGTTTCAAACCAAGAATACTTGACCCGTAACAGCATAGGTTTTGAGACCACTGGGGTTATGCAATTAAGTAATAGTCAGTTAATTGTGCTGTTTTCCTTTGAGATTTAAAAATAGATATCTTTTTATCAGAAGACACTAATAATGCATCACCAGACTGCGACCAGGTGAACAAAGACCCGCGGTTGTCTCGTATGAGTAAAATTTCACTGTGCTCTGTAGCCTGTGAACGGTCAATAACATCATGATAAATGAACTATTCACTTTAACTTATCAGTCCACTCCATCGGTCACTTAACCATAACATAAAAAAGGCAAAGTTTTATTTACTGTATGAACTTTGGTGGTTTGACTTAACGTAGAGGGTAATTTTCTTCTCGCGCAGAGCTCAACTTGTCATTCAGCTACATTGATGCCCAACTTTTTGTTTCAGTTCGTAAGGAATATTTGAAAAATTTTAAAAAGACAAAAAAATTCCTTGCAAGCTTCGTGGCTAATAGCAATTAATTGACTTCGTTTCTGAGCCGGCTTCTAGAAGTAATTACCAGCTTAAAAAAACACAACATGAATTTGCCCCTGGCTGTTCGGTTTCTTAGAAATAAAACCAGAAGAAGGTTTATAATTGAATAATAATTTAGTATTTATAAAAATTCAAAGTATTACCACTGAAGACAGAGGAGCGGCTGAATGATTGCTGAATGGTTGCTGCCTCGCACCAAGATCAAAATTGAATTTCCAATGGTTAAAAGAAAAAAAAAGTAGGTCGGACCAAAAGGGAGTGCATGGCAGTGCGATTAAGTCAGCTTCCTGCTATAGGATCTCAGTCCATTGGGAAAGTGTATATTCCATCGGGGCGAAATTGGTTAGAACTGACTTACTAGGGCAATGATTGGGGAATTCATCTCAGTTGAAAAACACTTTAGCATTTCAAGGTGCATGGCAGTCCAATAACTCGATAATTAGCACGTTATTATTGATATAGTATTATATAAAGGCGTTCAAGTTGGACGCTCAAGCACAATAAATGAATTCGCCTCCGGCCTGCCAATTTCTTAGAAAGACTGAATTCAGACAAAGGTTAATATAATAACAGCATTAGTAGTGGCAGACTAGAGACCTTGTGCACGTACACAACTGTGCACATGTCTCCTACTTTTTAGTGCAATTCTTTACCGCCACTGCATGGCTACGAAATGAAAAAAAACTCACGCAGGCTCCCACGTCTCGTGGAAAAACACGACACGACGATTTTCCTTTCCTCTCTCTGAACTTCGAAAGATAAGATCCCTACAAACTCTACCACAAACGAATTTGTCAACATGCATGCTGACAAATTAAACCCGGGGGAATATTAATCATCCAGACTGAAGTTTGAAAAAGCACTAAGGATGAACTTTTTAAAATTGACGTGGTTGCAGTATGCTCCCTACTGAAAAAAAAGAAATGAAAAGAAATGAAATAGAATAAAGAAAAAGGCGGACAAATTAAGCAAAAAGACTGACTGTTTAAGATCAAATAAGCAGTAACAACCAACATCCTTAGAGCAAGAGTTAAAAACAAAAGCAAATAAGTCTAGGTTAAAGTTCCTAGTATGCATGCTCAAGATTGACTGAAAGAACTACAGAACTCTAAATTTAGAGATTTAGAATATCGTTTGTGGCACAGGGCAAAAGAGAGATTCAATTTGACAATGTTTTAATCATGATTCTCAGTTGTAGATTAAACTGACATATAGCTATACTTATTTTTGCGTAGTTATAATAACTGTTTCAAGACTCAAAGTAATTAGGAAAACTTGGTCACGTGTCAAAAATTAATGTTTGCCCTTTGCCGGAATGCTAATTTGTTGTAGTTGATAATTAAAATCAGCAGTTAGTTTTGCACTGCCCCACCGACTTTGAAATACATGAAAACATTCCCATAATGCTAAGGGTAGGTGATTCCCATTTGTCCTGTTTAAATCAATTTTTTTCATTTTTTTAAATCTAATTAGTCATATCTTAATTTTTGATAGATTTACTTACCAAGACGAAAATAACTGATCGACTAATTGAAGGAGTGAGATCACTGAGTAGTAACTAAAGGACTCTACTACATGGATCAGGAGTTGCAGTGTTTAATGCTGAAGTCAGACAACGTGTAGGACTGCTTGCAAAATGACGTCATTTTGCTACAACTACCCGGCCAGAACAACCTCGTTTCCAGGGCGCTTTTTCCTGGCTTTGGCGGTCGGGCGCCCCACCCCCAAAGCCAGAGAAAAGCGCCCTGGGGACGAGGTTGCGTCCAGAATCGATACTTCAGTCTTGTTTAGTCTCATGTAAATTAGGGCTACTGTATGTTAACTCACCTTTAAATCGAAAAGCAAATTAAAACAAAATGAATTCTGATAGTTGTAGCCAAATGACATCATCGTGAAAGTGGCCTATTGTTACATGGGACCCAGTAATTTTAAATAGTACTAGTTGGTCACCGTTGAGTTTACCACAGGTAACCCAGGCTCAGTGATATTACAGTGTTTATACGGAGTAAAGCTACGATCCTAAAATTTGTAATAAATATACAAAAAAAAGTCAATGAAACTTAACGCTGAAGTTGGTTGTTGTTGAGCGCTTGCCTTTTGTATATTTACAGAATGTTATCAAGTCTATCAGGCCCATCTGATAACATAAGCTAGAACGTTCGAAAGTTTCCCGTCAGTAGCCTCTTAGTAGCTTACTGTCACCTTGGTTTGTCACAAATATTATAAAAACCGTTTAAAATATTCCTTTATTGAAAAACACGACTTCCATCGATTTAATTTCCTCTTCCATACGTGTCTGTTTTCACTGATATTTGCGACTGATCATTCTGGTGACGTAAATGGTATAATTTTAATTATATCATTTACGTCACCAGAATGCAGTCGCTTAAAAGTCAGTAAATCGTCATTTAAGTCAGTAAATCATCATCTGCTGGCAGCGATTCCGAATACTAAGCTCTGTAATTCTTTATACAGAGCACATTGTCGAATGAAGTTCTCTTGTCAGATTTTGTGAAGCAGAACTCATCTTAACTGCATGGCGAACCAAATAATTCAGTTGAACAATTCAGAATTAAAAAAATCAGAGAACCCCATGCATTGAATGTACTGAATCTCATTACAATGAGTGCTGCTCTGGTGCTCGCATTTTGCCCGCATTTGATAACATGATATTTTCCTGAAGTGCTGATTATTAATAAAAGATTTTCCCAGAGACTATGACAATATATTAAAGTATACATCTGCCTCAATTTCAATATTAGTAAAACAAGAATGACAAATTAACTCCGGTTTACACCTCAAAAGTAAAAAATCAAATGATTTAAAAAGGCTCTACTCAAACAAATGATGAAATGGGATAATTATACAATGAAAGTTCTTGTGTATATATTCAACAAATGTTGGTACTTACAAGAACATCGTTTGTAAAATCACGTTCTTATTGTTAAAATTGACAAATTTGCGGTTAGCAATCTTTGATGAGCGTTTCCCTTGCCTGGCTTGTTGAGAACAGTGGGAAATGGAATCCTAAGTATCTATCTTATTATATGTTGCAGATGTCCATTTCATATACAGGTTTGTAACGATACAAATGAGCGTTTCAGCCACTTACTTTTAGACTGACGTTTCATCAGTCAGTGAATAATAGCAGTAAATTTGGCTGGCGACTTCAACTACTGTCCACGTAAGACCTTTAACAGCTGGTGTCCACTTAATAGATAAGGTTCACTGTAATTGTAAGTTAAAAGAACTCTTAATTTGATTCTGATTTGTTATTTTGTAACAGCGGAATTCGGCGATGGAAGGCTAACAAAAATTGAAATTAAGCATCAAGTAGTGCGGTGCCTTTCCTGTGGCCTCGGAAACATTTTCAAACAAATTTTCCGCCAGACCGCCTCTTCTTTTTAAATCATATTTCTGATGCAAGTGATTGGTTTATTCACCAAAACTATGAATGTAAAAGTTCATAGCTACTAGGTGAAATCTGTACTTGACATTTTTAACGATGAGTGCCTATATGAGGCCCTGCCAGGCTAAATTCCGACAAGCGACGTGGGCCAAAAAGTAGCGACAGCGCGTAAAATGAAATGCGACAAGAGACAACCTCCTTGGGCCGAATTGTGACAGTGACGGCAAAGCCGACAATAAGCGACAAGCATTCAGTAAACACCGACTCGAGGCATTAGGGAGCTTAAGCAACTACGACGACGACCACAACGACGGCTTCAAAAAGCAATAGGTTCAATGATCAAAACAACAGCTCCGCACGTTCGTCACGCTTTTTGGTACATTTCTTTGACGTCCACTGCACGACTACGACGTGAAACCTCCTATTTTGACGTTTTATGGAGGACGTGGACATACGACGACGAATTTTCCTTCATCTTTTTTAACCTGAATATAATCCTTAAGAATTTAACTCCAGAAAAGTCGCCTGCAGTTGACATATTGGGCTGGTCCAAATAGACAGATCAAGTTTGAGAGAACGCAAATTTTTTTAC